GCTGGATTTTCTTTGTATCTTGAAAATGATTTATTTAATTGGTGTTTGCTGGAGAAGGGAGTGCCCAGTTTCAGACTCAGTCCCCTTGTGAGAATGCAGGAGCTGGTTACCTCATTTTCCTGGCCCTGTAAATTTATGCACTTTGTGTTGTAAGGAAGAACTCGCCCATCAGTCCCTGCCTTAGTTTAGCAGCAGTTAAACATTAAGTCTCAACAGCATTATGGAGTGGGGTTTGTGCCATCAAAGACAAAGTTTGTGCCAACTGCAGAGACAGTTTCTGAAAACTAATTTATTGCTGTTGTTGTATACAGTCTGCTCTCTATGCTTTCCTGGTCAGGTAAGGGGTAATGGGACAGCAAATATAAAAATTCAAACTGAAAATACAAGGTGACTTCATGGATTCAGTAAGCCTGGCAAAAGGACTGGCCTCGTTAATGAATATGTATTTGGCACTTTTGAGGACTGGCAGCTTTGGCTGTGAACATTGCAGGGCTTCAGCTGTGACATGTCTGGAGTCCCTGCAGCAGCATTCCACTGGCACTCTCCACTGAGCAGGGAGAGAGTAAAAATAGCAATGGTAAACCTTCCAGCTCTATGGCTCAAAGCTGGAGCCCTGTGGGGAGCAGGGATTCAGTATCACAGGCTCATAATTAAAGATGCTTTGAGGTAATACATGGTTTGCACATAGGGCTGTCATCCAGAAAGTCTGGGGTACTTTGCATGGCAGTTGATGCCATCATTGCTGTTGTATGGGGAAACTGAGGAGGGACATGGCCCCAGCCAGAGCCATACAGCCAAGCAGGTCAGCTAGAAGTCGTGTCTCATCCTCCTTTGCTATGCTCTCTGTCAGCAATATTCCCAGTCTCCTTTATCCCACTGATCTGCTGTCATGACTGAGGTCTCTTATTACTCTGAAATAAGTAGAAGAGTCTGGGGTGTGGATCCTTAATAACCATTTCTGTGCACGTAGTTCATGCTAGCATAAGGAGAACAGAATTGCTGGTAAACCTCATTTGTATTTACTGAGGCAGTAACACGGGGGGAAAAAGAATCCCCAAACTACTGTTATTATAAAGTGTGGGATGTTTTGGGGCCTTAGCTAGACCTGGCCTGAAGGTCTAGGTACAGGGAGCTTACTGCTTGTGAAGGTTGCTGGGAGCTTTTCTGCACACACAAATGGAGTGTGTAAACCACACCGTGTACTTGTGGTTTATTGAGACTGGAGCTTTGAGCTTTGCCACCTGTGTTTGTGGGTAAGAGGAAGCAGAAATGCTTGCATCATTTATACAGCAATAGCTGCAGTTCTCAGTAATGGAGTTCCCTCTGGGAAAAAAAAAAGTATGCCTGCCCTTTTTTCTTCTCTTTTTTCCCCTTTTGTCAGAGCAGGGGTTTTGCATATGCCAGTGGTAACTGAGTTGTTTCCTGCTTTGGCTTTGCTGAAGGTTGGTTTCCACATTGCTGTGTTGCTCTGCTTGTTTAGAACTCTCTGATGGGGCTCCACAGGAGAAGTGCCCAAGCATATCCAGAAATTTTCCTTGGCTCTCCTGCTCCATTGGATGGAACTCTTTCCACAGGGACCAAAGCTTGTGTGTTTCGAGGAAGTTATTTTTAGGGGCTGCTGTTTAGCTGGTGGAAAGACTTTCATCCTCAATAGGAGAGCAGACTGTAACAGGATTCCTCTTTTTCCAGAGTGTGTTTTGCCTTTTTCTACCATATTCTTTCCCTTTTTCTGTGTCACCCAGTTTCCCTTTCATTGCAGCCTTCTTACCCATGTTGGCTCTTCCCCTCTTTTCTTTCACTTTCTGTATCACTACTCCTGTTGTGCAAGGATCTAACACAAGGAAGTTTGCAGGGTGAGGAAGAGGCCCAGCCTCTGCTTTGAGAACGAACATGGTGTTTTAAAGACAAGCCCCCAGGTGGGTTTGTACCTGGGCTGAGCGGCGCTTGCTGAGGACCTTGCACAGCTCAATTATTCATGGCCTTTGCTCATAAGTTGTCCTGTGTCCTTTGGCCTCAGGATAAATAAATATTACATGTAGCTGTTTCTGCTGATGTTTGCGGTAAGCTCAATGTCTCGCTTGCTGAGTGATGACCTAATGGCAAAGGGCTTAAAAAGATAAATCTGTTACAGTAACTCTTCTGTCTTGAGAGGGGGAACTGTCCCTAAATAAAACAGCCCCAGAGATTCTTTTAGTTGTCAGTCAGTAGGAATATAAAGCAGAGAAGGCATTTGCTCTAATGATAGGCTAAGAGTGTACTAACTTAGTGCCCTAATACCCTTTTACAATTATTCATTTTGTCCAGGTTGTCACATTTCCTTTCTGTGGAGTTGGATACTGAATAGTTGTAGTGATGAAGGGCTACTTTAAGTTTAGACATATCTCTGGGCTTTTTTAATGATGCTATAGACTGTATCTGACTGTCATACTATGAAACAGGTTTTTGTCTAGAATACCTGTTGCCACAACAGCAAGTTTCTCCCCTTACATTGTAAAGATATTTTAAGAAACAAAATAACATCAAAAGGAGTGAGTCGAAAGCTGGTCAGTGATGGAGAAAATTGCCGTACTAAGGCAAATGGATGTGTCAAATTCTCTTGCCACCCTATGCTGTCCTGTTATCCTGTGATTCTCATTCAGACATCTGCTTCTACATTCTGCTTATATTTATATATAATCCTTTAGAAAGGAAACTTCACATTTATCATGGTACTGCAGGTCAGGATGGCATTGCAAAACCTACCAGCATTAATATCATTCCATGCCTGCTGAAACACCATGTAGGTGTTCATATTCCAGACCTGTGTTCTTACTGTTTTCTTGTATATATCCCTGATGCTGATGAATTTCTGCCTGTCTTTAATATGATGCAGCAGCTGGCAGATAGGCTGGATGCATGTGGTGCCTTTGGGGTGCATGCCTCCAGCCCTCCCCACCCAGCAGCTGGTACGATGTCTGTGATGACAAAACTTTGGTCCAAGGTCCTGTTAACCGAGTCAGCCAGGCCCTGCTGTGTGCTGGATCATATCTAACACTAAGGGAGAAAAAAATCTGCTAAAAAAGCTGCACAACATCTCTTTAAAAACATCAGCCTGTGGCTGTGGTGACAGACTGCCAGCATCAGCTGCTGCTTGGTTACCAAGAGGATAAAATTTTACTCCTGAGAGATATTTTTATACAGTTGCTTATTCATGTAACAGTAGATGCCAAAAGCACCCTTATGTTCAGCAGTGTAAAAATATTAAGAAAATTTCAGTTTCACAGAGGCTGCAATCTAGTCTAGTTATTCTTCATCATGAAACAAGGCAATCCTGACAGCCTGTAATTGCATGATTACTACTGGATTATTCTTAATCTTAATTATTAATTGGTCTTTCTTCTTCTATCATTTTAATTTTCTCTTTTGGCACATACCACATCATTTAGCTGCTTGAAAGTCGAGTCTTCTCCAGGTCTGCTGTACACCATGCCAAGAAGCTTTGTAAGGAAATTGAAACCTTCCAGGTGTAGATGGGGTATAGCCTGAACTGCAGGGTTTTCTTTTCATTGTCATCAGTGACGACAGGATTGTAGATGGTGTAGACTGTCAAAAAGACATGTTTTAAATAAATTATTTTCTACTAGAAATTTGTGTAGTATTTGATTACACAGCTTGCATTGGGAGGTAGAGTTGACAGAGAGAAATCTTCTGGGTAAATACTTTATAACTGAGTAACAGCTTTGATTTGCAGCTTTCCTAACAAGTTCTGGTGGCCAAATATTCTTCACTTCCATTATCCACTGTCACCTCCTTCTGTGCCCCTTCCAAATTCTTTTCTATTTTGTACACATTACATGAAAACTGAATTAATCTCATTCTCAGCTTTTTTTTTGGGAAGCAGCACACAGGCTGGGACAGTTTCATAGACTGGATGGGAATATTGGGGAGCCATCCAGGACTCACTGTGGACTCTGCATTTTATGGAATAATGTATTTTTATAGTTACAAAAGAAACTTGACCCTGATGCCTAAAAGGGGTGATCTGGAACAGAGACTAGACAGAGCTAAATGGACAAAATAGGTATTTACTGAAAAGCCTTAAAAGGATACACCTTGGGCAGCACAAGAGCCTGGCCAGGGCTACACCCAGGTTGAATCCAAGATGAATACATGAGTTTTTACACTTTTATAAGTTTTGGTTCATCTACATATTGGGTTCACTTGTCCAGTTGCAGGTCCTGGTCATGAAGTCTCAACCCTCTGGCTTGTCCCCTTCTCTTTGCATTTTTTTATTCTTTTTGGGTAACAGTTGTCCTTGGTTCTCTAGCTGGGAAGGGATTGTTTTTTCTAACTACCTTGTGAAGAGAACTTACTAACACTGTATATGAAGTTTCAGAGTTGCATATCAGGCAGCAGAGAATCTGAAAAATATAAAAGCTAAACTGAAGACATCAACCCATTTTAAACTGGTGAAGAAAAATTAAGAATATTTTATACTGATCAGTAACTGGAAATATGAACAGACCTGTTGTCTTTACTATCACTAACAAGGCAGTTTTGTCTTCTTATTCCAACTGCAATTCCAACTGGAATTAAAGGTGGGCAGAGGAGTAACTGTCTTGTGTAATGGTGGAAGGGCTGTCAGCCTCTAGGACATCCAGTTGAAATTCCTGAGAGTGCCTCTTGATAGGGGGAAGTAGCATTTATAATTTGCTGTGCTGTGGAGTGAAAGACAAGAACTGTTCCTGAAAAAGGTAAAGATTAATGACCAAATTGCCATTCCTTCTTTGAGGATAGCTGTCTTAAGCCTTAAGTGTAATATTTGGGTTGTTTTAAAATTTAAACTTGTAAGTTTGTGTCTCCTAGGAACAGATTTTAAAGACCCACAAAGGATAAGGAGGGATGCTTTGGTTTTTATTCCCTTTGACTTTTGTTGGTTTGGTTTGGTTTCTGCATCTGTGATGTGAAATGTGTTGTGTTCTGGCTTTTTTGTTTTAAAGGGATCTTTCTTTTCTCTGCAGGTATGGTGTCAGTCCTGAGAACATTATCCTGTATGGTCAGAGCATTGGTACTGTCCCTACAGTGGACCTGGCATCTCGGTACGAGTGTGCAGCTGTGATCCTCCATTCCCCCCTGATGTCTGGCTTACGGGTGGCTTTTCCTGACACCAGGAAAACCTATTGCTTTGATGCTTTCCCGAGGTATGTAACAGGGGGGTTTCTGTACTCACCATCTCTATAGGTGTTTAGAAGAGACTGGTGGTGTAAATAGATACTGAGACTTGTATTTGTTCCTCCCTGTGAGGGGGAATCTTGTAGAATCCTGACTTTGTGACCAAAACAAAGTCCCTGTCCCATTTTTTAGAAGATATTAAGCTTGTTTTAAGAAGCTGTAGAAAACTATATACAACTGGTTTTAAGATAAAACATTTGCTTGTATAGTCTAGTTTTCACAGAAAAAACAATAGTAACAGACCTGGAGTACCCAACTATTTAGGAATAGAAGAGGTCATGGGAACAGCAGATATTCTAGGAATCTTTCAGAACTTCTCATTTGTTCCAGTTTAAGTTATGGAAGAATATAGAGAGGGGAAGCCAGTCTCTCTATAGCAGGGCAGGGGGAAGCACAGGTAAAAAGCTTAGTGGTCCATGGAAGGGAGAAGATAAAACAGACACTCACTGAAGTCTTGGTCAAAACTCAGCTTTACTTCAGAAAGTCATGCTTGTGATAAGTATAGTAAGGAATATTCATTGCATTTCTTATTTTTCTTTTATTTTGGTTACAACAGATTAAAATTAGCAGCTGTGGGAGGCCATAAAAATCCATATGCCAGAACAGCTAGAAGGAATGGTGATGAAGTAATAGTGGCTCTCACAGTCCCCATGTTTAGAATCCTTTCAAACATATTATTAGTTAATTTATTAACTTGTTGGAGGTGCAGACTGAATTTGAAACTCTTACACTCCAGCTCGTTCATCATCCTCAAACCTGAAATCCAATATTTACAAATGCTTCTGCAAGAGAGGAAAAAACAAAGCCTTAAACATAGCTCTGATTACAGAAGTAACAGTGATTAGCTGTTACCAGCCAAATCAAATAACAGTTTTATAAAGAAGAGTGGGAAGGGGAACAGTGACAGCAGATGTGCTGTAGCACTTGAGTATTTTGTTCTTGCCCTACTGAGCTGTTCATTGCTGTCAGTCTGACTTCCCTGGTACTGGGAGCAGTGAAAATAAACAGCAGTGCTCTTTGTGAATGTGTGCAGCTCAACTGTCTGTCTTCTCAGTGGGAAACAAAATAGTTCTGTGTGCACCTACAGTGAGTTGCTATTATGTGCATTTTATGTTGGGACTCCATGAGAATTTGGTTTCTGTAGATTTTTCTAGCTGCAGAGCTGTGTGGCTGAGAATACAAAGTAAGGCTAATGTGCAGTTTAAATACTGCTTTATGAGTTGCTGACTTGGCAATGGAACACCTTCCAATTTTCTGTAAAATATAAATAGTATCTGGCTTAATGGTCTGTGAATATATGTGAAAAAAATGTTTTATTATATGAATACTGAAGTGAAAGGGGTTTCCTACAATAAATGAGAATTTAGTGTCTAGCAACAAAAATTATGCATAAGCATCTGTAGCTGTATGTAGCTGATAGATCTATTCCACCAGACCTCTCATGGGCTTAGAACTTCAGTTTATACAGCATATTGATTACAAAGTATTTACATTTGGCTATGATACTAATTTTGGGATGAACATTATGGGGAAAACAAAATCTGCATTATTCTGATGCCTCTTTTTTGTTGGGATTTTTTTTTTTATTCAGAATAATTGCACACATGTTAAATTCCACACAGGAAAAGTGAAATAAAGCTGCATTTTAATTTTAAATAGTACCTTAAATGGCATGAAACTTGGAGTATTTTTGAGAGCTATAGAGACAGAGACAGAAATGTGTTTACACTCAGTTGTTCACTGGACTACCAATGACAATTCTCTAGAGTGCTGAATGTTGAGGTTTGTGTGAGACTTAGCACTTCAGTATACATCTTTTTAGTTAACTTTAAATTTTCATAAAACTTTTATGAAACTGTTTTTAAGTCAGGGTATCCTGGCATCTGTATTTTTAAAATAATTTTAAGCAGTCTTGATAATTTTGTAAAATCAATGGTCATGCCAAAATTGCACGCCTTCTCATTTTTCAGTAGCAGGAAAATCCAAGCACCTTTTATTAGCTACCATAAAGAAATAGATTTGTCCTCTCATAAAATTGAGTAGTACCAGCACTCATTTCTCCACATTCCTCCATTTGTTGATGGAAGTGGAGCAGGTGGGAAGCTGAGAGTTCATTAGCACAGATTTGGAATCATTGGTAATTACCAGCATGAAATGGCTGGCTGGAAGTAAAAGCTGAGGCCTGCATGAGGAGAGGCAGAGAAAGCTGCTGCTCACTGCTTGCAAGGTCATGTGCTACCAGGATGCCTCAGAACTGGGGTTTTCTGGCCTGACCTCTTTGGTGGGAAGGTGCCTCTGTCACTCTTTTCTTCCCTCAGAACCCATTTTCCTGTGACAGGTAGTCTCAAGCTATATTGGTCTGCTGAAGGTAGCTGGGCAAAAGGAAAAATATTACTCTAAAGCCACTTTGCAGTCACAGCTGGCAAAGAGGCTGGTTACATAAAGGAAAATCCTATGTGATTTCTCTGGTTTGCAGTTAAATATCCCTGTAAATATCCCACAGTTTTCTATTTCATTGTTTGAACTTAATCAATAGAACAGATTGTTTTCCTTTAGCTGAATAAACCTGGGTTAAGATAGGTTCAAGCTCCATGAGCCAAAGATTTTTTTTTTTTTTGTGTTAATGAAATCTTATGACTGGAATGTCATTAATTAGTTCCTGATCTGTTAAATTGGAAGGTGATAATGTGTCATGTGAGAAGAGCCCATGCTTGCAGAATGTCCCATGGAATCTTGCTTGCCTCACAGTGCTTTGTGTGATAGATACAGCAGCTCTTTTGGTGGGGGATTTTTGGGTGGCAAACTTTATGTGCATGCTGCCCACTCAAACTTGTTGCTGTTAGCACTGGTGGGATGGTGGTGATGGCAGTGCAAGCTCCTTTTTCACACGTGTGTTTTGGGAATGAGCCCTATCCCATTTCACTTGTGCACAGTTCCAGCGGTCTGCAGCCATTTAAAAACATGCCGTGCTAACTGGGTTGTGTGTCAACAGTTAAGCTTGCTTTCTCTAATGACGTGAAACTGAAAGGCCCAAACTGAGCTATGTCTTTCTTTTCCTTCCCCCAGCATTGACAAGATCTCTAAAGTGACCTCTCCAGTGCTGGTCATCCACGGTACCGAAGATGAGGTGATCGATTTCTCCCATGGCCTGGCCATGTATGAGCGATGTCCACGGGCAGTAGAGCCCCTCTGGGTGGAAGGGGCTGGGCATAATGACATAGAGCTTTATGCACAATACTTAGAGAGACTAAAACAGTTCATATCTCATGAACTTCCCAACTCCTGAAGAAGCCTACCTGATTTTACCTCAGTTACTGTGAACGGAAGAAATTACCTGGTTTTGCACATGCTTTAACTGGATAGCTGTAATAGCTTTATACTATGAAGAAATGCCCTGTCTTGAGGGTGTTCTAATCAAACATCTGATGAAATTTGTCTTTTCTATCTGGAAATGATTCTACTAATGCACCCAAATATGGTCAACTACTGTAATTCCAACAATTTTTAGCTTCATTGCCCTGAAGGAAGTGGGAATCCTAGCTGCTTATGGGGACACTTTTTACCTAGTGCTGTATTAATCGAAGATCAGTTTTCTCTGTCTCACTTCAGATCATTTATAATTCTGTCCTACAAAGACTTTTCCCCCATTGTGTTCTCGGAGTGGAGAACACAACTGTTACGAGCTACAGCTTGTTCTGAACAATCATGGGTTCAATCTAAGGGAGTACTTTCTCTGTGAAGTTTCTAGCTGTGGTATTGTAACTGGAAAGTTATTGTGATGAAGTTCCCCCTCCTCCCTTCTAGTGTTCTTTTGTTAACTTACTGATCTTCCCAAGTAAATTATTTAAATATACTTTTACCTGAAAATAAACAAACTACTATATGGGGCTAAACTCTGTAACGACCTCTCCATTAGTTGTATAAACATAACTGGAATATTCTTAAAGGATCTAAGGACAAAACTGCTTTTGTTTAAAAATAAATGTGTAAATTTACTACTAGAAAACTCATTTTAATATTCAGATTGTCTGAATAATAGCCATAACAGACATTTCCTTCTGTAAAGCATTCCTGTAGACTTTTTAAAAGTACTGTACATATTTGAATTTACATTGTGCATAGATTCTTAATTGGTAGTTTTAATTTAAGTCTAGTTACAATAAACTGCAAAATTCTGGTTTGTATATGATTGAATACATTTTGTTAAAATATGTTTTTATCCCTATATTATTTTGCTATTAAAGTTTTATAAAGTTTCCAGGACAAAAAAAAAATAGAATTTACACATTTATGTTTTGATGAATTATGTAACTAAATTTTCATTGAGCTGATCTTTTTAGTTTAGAAGTAATTTGATTCTTTGACACTGGAATCGCACAGATTATGCATCAGAAATGCAAAACACTTAAAAATTGTTACACTGCTAGGGTAGGTCTAATTTTTCCAAATTTAAAGGCCTTAAATGTACTGTAAGCCTCAGATTGTTGTATAAATTGATTGCGATTGATTGCAGTTTGTGTCCTGTTGCTAGAGAGCAACACAGTGATTGTAATGGAATAAAGGATGCATGGATTAGAGCTTGCTCAAGTTTGGAATCTTATTTGGTGCAGAATTTTCATACATAAGAAAAGTGTAAAAGCATTACTTGATAGAGTAAGCTGGGTATGTAAATCAAATGTGCAAGAGGTTATGTTTAAATGGAGTTCAGCTGGTTCTAAGTAATGAAAAATCATGATTCATTGCCTGGAAGAAATATTTGAACATAGTTATGAGTTCCTCTAACAGGCCTGCAGTTGATTTTCAGTGCTGCAAGGGTGCATTGTTTTTGATTATTGCCTTGGCCCTATTACTGCAAAACGGGAAGAATTTGTATTTTCACTTCCAGTGAAATAAGGACATGCATCCTGGTCCACATCACCTGGATCCTTAGACTGTGGATCTGGCATCAGTGTTGTCTAGTTGTGACTTTCAACTGTCCCAAGCAGCAGGGCCCTCAGCAGTTCTTTTGGTGACTTTGCCAGCCTAAATTGTCAGGTTTTGCCTAATCACCACCTCAAGCTCAGCACTTCCCTCCTGTATTTTAAGTAAATACTCAGATACTTGTCTGATTTTATATGTATTTGTTGTACCTTCATAAATCCACAGTGATTTTCTTCCATTCCTACGTGTGTTCTTCCTGGGACTGTAGCCCTGTGGAAACCAAACTGCTGTGTGTGGTACAGGTATCCAAGGTAGTGTTGAAAGGATCAGCCTGTCCCTGTAGTGACTTGGGGATTTTTACCTAATTGGCTCTGGTTTTTTGGCATCCACATTTAACTTTGTGTTGCTCTGAAACCTCAGCCTGCAATGTTTCTTCTCGTGACCCTCTGTAGCTGCCCTTTAACAAACTGATATTTCTAACCGTTTCCCTATAAATTGATTTTTGATCATTACTTTTCCAACTCCTGAAGTAATTTTGTGACTCATCTTGGCATTTGCTTTTTTGCCAGTATTCCTCTGTTAATGTGAACCCTGAATATTAATTCAACATGGTTATTTATGTCCTGTGGTCTCTGCAGTTGAAGGAACAGTTCACGGTGTCCTGACTGAACATGGATTTCCATTTGTACTATCTTTTATTTGCCTGAATTCCTGCTTAATTAATTCTCAGAGGGGCCTCAGTCTTCTGGCATCTGCATTGTCTGGTTTGGTTTTTGAAGTTCATCTGCATTAAACTAACACAGATGTTTTGTTCTAATTAAAATGTTAATGGCCTATCATTGATCCACTGGTATGGATCTTCCCTCTCTTTCAATTTATTTACCTGTTTGTTCCCTTAAATAATTATCCTTGTAGCCCTATTCTCATCCAGTAGTTCTTAAATCAGTTCTGATTTTTTTATAATTTTCTGATGTATGCTCTGCACAAAAGAAATGCTAATAGTGAGCTATTTGTATTGTAAGCTTGTGTCAAAGTGTCAAGCATTTCAAAACACTGCTGGTCAACCTTGGAACTATTAGTTGAAAAAATGTGGCAAAGTCATGAAGATGCAGTTTCATCCATGACAGTGAATTTCAGGTCCTTTATTTTAAAGAAAAAAATGTTTTAAAATTTTTAAAAAAATATTTTCATTTTTAAATTATATGAAAGGGGATGATGTGAGGTTATGAAAAACAAATTTTGGGCTAAAAAAGTAGTCTGTTCCAGCAAACTGCTAACATTCTGTAATTTAAATGTATAATGTGGGCCTTTACAAGAACTTGTTATGCATATTTTAGAGCTATCAAGGTGTCACTGTAAAAATGGCTCTGTGTGCCTGGATAAATTATGCAACGGGTCTCCCAAAGGTGTGAGCAATCACTAATATTTTATTGTTGATGGGGATGCTCTGTCCATTTTTCCTGTGTGACTGACTATTTTTGTTCATGTAGTGCAGCCACAGGTGATGTACAGTTTGTTTGCAGAAAGGTAAGATGTGGTACATCTGTTTACTACCAGTAGTTGTCTCGTGTTTGTACTTTGGAAAAGCCAGAGGAGAATATTTGTTACAGCTTCAAAGGTGTGGTTTTCCAAGGAGTCTGATATGTATCCTTTTAAAGTTGATGTAACTGCTGCCAATTTAACTCGTGCTCACACGGAGGCCTGGTACTTGTGTCGCCTCTGCTGCGGTTCTGTTCCTCATTCTTACATGTCACTCCTGTAACTTGTGCCAGCTCTGCTCGGGGTGCTGACCCTGGAACTCTAAATACCCAAACCTGTATTTATGCTTAGCATTGTACACATCGATGAACTCTGTATTGCATTTGCTTTTTCTAAATGGTGCTAAACATAGAAACAGAGACCCAATGTACTTGTTTCCTCTGGTTATTCCTTCAGCCGGAAAACTTGATTGTTCTCACTCGGAAAAGGCTTTCTTCCCCAGGTCTATTCCTGTGAAAGCAAACTAATGCTCTCAGTTCAACCCATTTAACTCATTTCTGTATGTCCTATGTGGAACTCTCCAAACATTTGAGCTCTGAAATTTAGCTCCAATGCAGTTGTTTGTACTCCAGCACTGGGTAAGGGTGGGGTGGCTCTTTGATGGTGGGCACTCCACTGTTGGGAATGAGGTCAGGCACAGAAACTCTCTCCTGGCTCTGTGTTGCTTTCCAAGTCCAGTGGTAATACGGAGGTCAGATGGGTGTGAATTTCAAAGCAGGAGATTGTACTTGGGTCTCATAGCTTTGGTACAACACTAAAAAGCAGGAGCTGTCCTTGCTCTAGGAGAGTGAGCCCCGCTCCTTTGACTCTGCTGTTTTACAGATGAATTGCTGCAGTAATCAAATTAATTCTGCAGAAGGTGTACGGGTAACATACCTGCTGTCTTAAAAAAAAAGGACCTCCAAGAAGACCTGTACACCATTAGTAGGTAAATTCTAAATTGCCTTCTGGTTCCTGGAAGGGTAAAGGTGTTTTGGTCGGGGCTGGGGGCTGCCAGTGCATCTCGTCGCCTTCTGGAGTAAAGCCGTGTGCGGGCTGCGCTCGCCCGGCGTGGGACGGGGCTGCGCTTCTCGCTCCAGAGGCTGGAGCATCCCCGCTGTCCCGGGCCGTGCCCGCTGTCCCGGGCTGTGCCCGCTGGCCTGGGCCAGCCACAGCCCCTGTTGTGTCCTGGGGGATCACCCCGGCCCCCAACCCCACACCCAGCGGCGTTCGGGACGCGCTGCGCTCGGCGGGGCGATGGGGGTGATGGGGATGGTGGGGATGGTGATGATGGTGATGGGGAAGTGATGATGCTGATGGGGGTGATGGTGATGTGCTGGGTGGCCAGGGCTGCCGGGCAGGCAGAGGGCAGAGGGCGAAGGCGCTGCCACAGCCCTGGTGGAGCCAGGACCCTGCTGCCAGTCCGGCTGGCCCGGGAGAGGAGGAGGAGGAGGCTGGATCCAGCAGAGCCGCTGGATCTGAGCCTTGCTTTATCAGCAGAAGCAGCGGAAGGAGCACACGCCTCTGGATTACACTTGGGCTTCAAGACAAATATAGGTGGCTTGGTTTGCTGTGCCTGTGGAGGTGACTGCATGCAGTAGGTCTTTTGTTTATTTTCTCCTTTTGTTTCTAGGCCTTATTAGTTTAAGAGCTGCTTTAAACTAAGACGTCGATCCATAGTTTTGCTTATCCTAAATGACATTTTTCATGGCAGTTTGTTCTTGGAATTTGCATATCTGCTAAAAGATTTAACCTCACTTACATTTCAAGTGACACCCCTGTAGCAGTGCCATTAGGAATGCTTTGGGTATGCCCTCTGGATCTTTGCCTCAGACCAGGTTCAGTGGGATGGCAGCAGTGCCTAACACCCTCCTCTGCATGGACCATCTGTAAAATATAACTGCTAGGACTAAGCTAAGTAATGCACTGTTATATTCCAGGGATGAGTTATAGCCATGAATGTGCATTTTGATACATGAAATTCCAACATATTAATAGAACACTTAAGTAATATAATTACAACAGGCAAGCAATCCCCTGGACCCTAAGTCACAACTACCTGAAGTTGGTAACTTTAATCTTGAATCAAATAAATAACAATCCTGAAGCTTCTCAAACATGCTGATCTGGGATGCCCCTCTAGGAAATAGAAAAACAGTCTAAAAAATTTTGTTCTCTGCTTAGAAATGGGAGGGAAGGCTTCAGGCACATTCCAGGGCTCCCAGGACATGACCTCCAGCCTTCAGCAGTATGCTGTTACATTAAAACATTCACCATTTCAAACACTCTTGGCAGTATGCCGCTGAGTTTTGGGTTCCTTGTCCCTTTTAATTATCAGAGTTTTCTTTTGTGTTTATCGTGAAGTCCCAGCCTACTTATGTTGCATGTAATTGCTTTATTGATCCATTCCCGGAGTGTAAATTGAACCTTTGGGCTCAGCCTGGAGGAAGGAGAGCTGGATAGGGGCACTGCTTTGGAAGAAAATTTAAGCTCCATAGAGTCCCAGCTGTCCCTTGCAGCACCTTTTTATCAACAGGATGAAGTTGCTGTGGCCTTTGAGCAGCCATAGCTTCACCTGGGTACACCAGAGTAATGGCTTTAATCAGCAGGCAGAGACAAGGAGCAGCTAGAAAGCAAAACAGAACCTTTAAACCAAACTTGTATCTGTTGGAAAAATAGAATCTGTGCTGGACTCTGGGACTGGACCAAAAGTGCAAATGGCTCAGTGGGAATGTAGAAGTTTCCTTCCTTAATCAAGTATAAAAATGTCTTTACCAAGAATAACAACTTGAACAACTTTTAAAATGTTTTTTAGAAAATTAATACAGAATAGTAAATTTTCTTTTGGTGTTTGGATTAAGTTTTTTTTGGGGGGAGGGAAATTATGCAATCTGAGTGTTTGTATGAATAATGAATATAGTTTTCCTGAGCATTAAAGAGTACTTTAAATGAAAAGGTATATATAAGCATTATTGTGTTTTATTACCTAAAATCTGTTTATCATACATCTCTTGATTTGACCTGTTGAAATATTCAGTGTTTGTCCAAGTGGTGCAGTGGTCTGTAGCCAGGGCTGCAGCAGAACATCCATAAATGTACTTACGTACACATATGTATTTTGAGGAAACAAACTCTCTGGGATTCTTTGCTGTTTATGTGTAATAGGGTCACTGTATTTATAATTATTTCAGAACATAGCCCGAATCCCAGAAGTTCTCTGTGGGACATGGATTATGAAGGATTGTTGCACAGTAAGGAAAACCTTCCTGGAGCTGTGGGCTCTTACAAACCCTCCAGCCTGTTCAGAAGCAGCTCTTTCTTCAGTCAGCACAGGAGAAGTTTGCTAAGTCAGACCTTGGGCCAGAAGGCACAAGAAAAGCACTTGTCCTGTGAAGTATTCCTTAAAGCCTTCAGATAAACTTTAATGGATACCTTTGGACCTAGCTTGGCCTGGAATCTCTCTTGGTTTTGCAGCTGTAATCAAAATGCCAACCTGCTCAAAATTCACATCAGTGTCCTCAAGGTGCTCCAGCACAAGGTGAAGCCGTTCTTGCTGTACAGGATGCTCCAGCTGCTCGGGAATGTGGGAGTGTTGTCTCAAGGCCAGCAGTCTGAGGCCTTCTCTCTGCTCCAGAAGCAAATGATTAAACCAAGAAAAATGCCAATAAAGCCCAAAGAGGAACTGGTAGATACACAAGGAGGAGATGTGAGTGAGGTATCTCAAACACCTTCTGGTGCTGGCTGACAGGAGCAGTGGGGCAGGTGAGGGGTGGGCACTCCTGGTACAACCTGGTAGGGGTGGGTGCTGTGCTGTGCCAGGAACTGCACCCACACTCGGGCTGAGAGACAGCTGGGCTTGGGCAGGATCAGTGAAGGATGGGCAGGATAGACAGAGGATGGGCAGGACCAGTGAAGGATTGGCAGGATAGACAGAGGATGGGCAGGGTCCACAGAGGATGGGTAGGTCCTGTGGAGGATGGGCAGGATCAGTGGAGAATGGCCAGAACCACTGGAGAATGGCCAGCACCACTGGAGGATGGGCAGGGTCGCTGGAGGATGGGCAGGACCAGTGAAGGATGGGCAGGACCGCTGGAGGATGGGCAGGACCAGTAAAGACGGCCAGAACTGCTGGAGGATGGGCAGGACCTTTGGAGGATGGCCAGCACGGCTGAAGAATGGGCAGGGTCGCTGGAGGATGGTCAGCACTGCTGGAGGATGGCCAGGACCAGTGGAGGATGGGCAGGACCTTTGCAGGATGGGCAGGAGCAGTGGAGGATGGGCAGGGTCGCTGGAAGAAGGGCAGGACCGCTGCAGGATGGGCAGGGGCAGTGAAGGATGGGCAGGAGCAGTGAAGGATGGGCAGGAGCAGTGAAGGATGAGCAGCAGGACCGCTGTAGGATGGACAGGACCGCTGTAGGATGGACAGGACTGCTGCAGGATGGGCAGGACCGCTGCAGGATGGGCAGGGGCAGTGAAGGATGAGCAGGAGCAGTGAAGGATGAGCAGCAGGACCACTGTAGGATGGACAGGACCGCTGTAGGATGGACAGGAACGCTGTAGGGTCGCTCCGGCCGGGCCGCGGGGCAGCGGCTGGGCAAGGGCGCCGCCTCCCGGCCGCCCGCGGCTCTGCAGGGACGATCGGCCCCCGTGTCCCCCCGCGTGTCCCCTCCGTGTCCGTGTCCCTGGGGGCTCCGGGGTCGCACAGTGGAGTCTGAGCTGGCGCTGCCCCTGAGCCCTCCGCTGCCGGAGTCATCCCGCGGCGCCTCCGCAGTCCGTGGGAACGAGGTGCTGTTCAGGGGATGCTGCCTCCGTTCCTCCTTCCTTTCCCGAAGGAAACAGGAAACCGCCCAGCGAGGGAGTGTGCCCGGGAAAAAATCACAGAGGAGAGCCCTCCCTGCGCTCGTGTGCCAGAGCTGAGTCCCTGGACAGGGATGTCCGTGCCTGGACAGGGATGTCCGTGCCCTGCGAGTCAATCCCCGCTGCTCACTCACTCAGATTAGCTTGGTTCTCTGCCCTGGCCTTACCATGGAAATCTCGCCATCGATACCGGCTATTGAACGCTCCAGCTGTGTTTGTAAGCAAAGCATCGCAATCACTGCGAGATGCCAAGACACGGGACGGCCGAGGTTGTCTCGTCCCTGGCAGCCCATTACAGAAAATGACCCAATTTTGTTTGTTAGGAGGGTAAACTGCAGTTTATAACCTACAATAGCACTCGGAGGAGGGTTGGTTATTTTTGTGAGGAAGAGTTACACCAGGCGTATGTTGGAGGCAGTGAGTGTTAGTCATGATTTCTCATTTGCAGGTGTGAGGTTGTTTGGGAGTGTTCTCACGCTGTGCATGCATCCTGTAACAGAGATCTGTGGTGTAAACTTCATCCCTGTGCTGCTGCAAAACAGAAATCTGCTTGGAAAAATGAAATCTGAAGAGTGAAAAGGAAAGAGTTTAGCTCCCAAGCACCACTCTACAGATAGTAATGGGGGCTTCTATATTTGCTTTAAAAAGAGACAGCAATCCTTAAAAAACAGGGTGATATGCTCAGTCCCTTTTAGTCTGAAATCTTCCTCAGGCTAGTGAAAATGTAATATGGGGTGAAATGGCACTGAATTCTTTAACCTGAGAGTAGTTGTCTCAAAAAAATATATATCCAAGTAGTCTATTTCTGGCAAAAAAAAAAAAAAAAAAGAGAAAATGCCTTTAATGGATTTAAACAGTACTCACACCTTCAAGATTTTAGTTGCTCTTTCAGAAAAAGTCCCAGGTAAGCAGGAGTGACTTTGGCTTTGCTGATTGTTCTGTAAGGCCTACACAAATCTTAGCACTAATGAAAGTGCTTTACATTTACCTCTACTATGTTAGATTAATTATTGATGCCTTTTATTTAGATTACAAGCTCATGAAATCTTTTGCATGAGGTAAATATTTTAAATAATGGTGTATGAGATTTCTAGGACCCTGGTGGATGTAAAGGGCTCACGTCCTCTAAGCAACACTGAGTCCAGAGAATTTAGCATGTTTTAAGACAAAATACTCTTCTTGTCTTGCCTTGCCTGAAACATCCACTAGTAGATAAATTTTTCTTTAAAAACTGAGGGAAGCCTCCTATACTTGTGGTAACAGCTCTGTGCTCCCATGACCTGCATTCATATGTGTCATATTCAGATAAAGAGGAGGCACTAAGCTGACTAATGCTGCTTTTTTGGAAGGAAAATGACAAAAGCTATTTGAGACAGGAATAGAAGTGCCAGCACTAAATGACAGATGAACAGCTGGTAGCAAAGGTGGCAGCTCTAGCATTTCCCTCTATTTATGGAGTATTGAAACAAGGGAGTGTTATCTGGATTTATTTTCCTGGCCTGGATGTTTATGTTCAGATTCAGTAATTCTCTGCGTCCCAGGACCAGGCATAAGAGAGTGGATGGGTTTTGTTTGGCACAACTGCTGCCTGGAGCATGGGGCATGGGGCTGTGCCCCTCACCCACCCCCTCTGCTTCCAGTCTGTTCCCATATTTTGTCTGACAGCACTTGCTCCTTATTAACATGACTATAGCGTCTTTGTGCCCTCTGTCAGAAGAAATCCTGCACCAGAATAAATTTCAGAGGTGACAGATTGGAACAGTTTGACCAGATGATGGCACACAAATGTCTCTGTGGCTCTGCACCTCTTTGGCTTTGGCGCTGGGCAGCAGTAGTGGCTGGAACCATTGCCTACCCACTTCTGGCTAATCCTCTCGGGATGCTGCACTCCCGGGTGGAGATGAGGGATTATGGCCCTGGGGGAGAGAGGCTGTGGCTGCAGTAAAGCAGGTACTTGGATTTCTGTGTCATCCAGAAGGTCAGTTGTGCTGTATTTCAGAGTTCATGAAAAAACGTGATGTTGGAGTTCATGGAAAAAAACCAGTGTGTGCTAGTGCCAGGTGTGATAGGTGTGATGGTGTGACAAGTGCCACGGCCACTGAGACTGGAACCTTCCAAGGCAGGAAGGCAGTCCCAGCACATGGGGGTTTTGTGTCTTTTTTGTCCGAGCAGTTTCTCTTCCTCTTCCACTCACTGCAGACTCTGAGTACAGGTTGATGGGGGGTGAAGTGGCAAATACCCCTCTGCTCACCCACTGTCAGGGGAGATTTGCAGCTGCTGGGTTACAGTGTCGCCCATAGATCTGCCAGACACAGGACGGTACAGGGTGAAACACCCCCACGAGAAGGTGCCAGAGGGGTCAGCTGCCTCCCAAGAAGATCCACGTCATGCCAAGCCCCGGTTTGGGACTTCAGGAACTGGGGACTGGGGTGCCTCAGCCCTCTGCCCCTGCAGAGACGGCAGGCACCAAGCTGCATCCTTTGCACAGGGCTGTCGAGCCCCGCCAGGGGCTCAGCGAGTCTGCTCAGAGCCGCGGGGAGCCCGGCAAGGAGCCCGCTGCCCCGGAGCTCGGCGAGACCTTTCCGTGCGGGCAGCGGGGCATCGGGGCGCCGGTCCTAGATATACGTCCAGGCTGGAGGGAACGTCCCCGGCTGGGAGGAGCCAGCGGCGGAGCCGCTGTAAACAGTGCGGGCACCGCCAGCGGTTGGGAGATGGATATAAAAAGGGAGGCGGAGGGGAGGCAGCCCGAGCGCGGATCGGGAGCTGCCTGCGCCTGCCTGCCCCTGCCCTGCCTGTCCCGCCCGAGCGGCAGCTCCGGGAGGCTGCGGGCAGAGCCCACGGTCGGCGCTGTGGGGACAGGTAAGCGTCTGCAGCCGAGTTTGGAGCCGCGGTGCCGCTGGGTCCGCGCCGCGCCGGCTCCCCCTGGCCGCTGCCGGGCTGTGCGAGAGCGAACCGGGGCTCTGCTTGCGCCGGGGCGGCGTTAAGTGGAGGGGGGAAAGGAGAAAAAGGAAAAAAACAACGAAACCAAAACACATCCAAAGCAAAATGTGCCTTTTGGCGGCTCCGCGTAAAGTCGCGGCGCACGTGTTGCGGCCGGGGGCGGCCCCGGGCTGCGGGACCGCCCGGGACACGCCGACCGCGGGGAGCCCCGGGGAGCCCCGGGGAGCCGCGGCTCCTCCTGCCCCTCGCACCGGACCCGGACCCGCTGCCGGACCCGGTGCCGCCGTGGGACGCGTCGTGGAGCAGCGATCGGCCGCAGCATCAGGTCGGTACCGCGCCCTCCGCGCCCCCTCGCCCCGCCGGCCCCGCCGCCGCTGCCGCCGCCCGTTTCTTGCAGGGCCCTGTCCGGATGCCACCACGCACCTCGCCCCGTGGCGACCCGGCTCCCGCACCTGCCGGGCTGCGCCTCGAGGGCTCCGCCGCCCTCCGCCACCGAGGTAAACGGGGCCAGCCCGCCCCGGAGCCCGGCTGCTGCGGGGATGTCCCGGCCGTGCGCGCCCCCAGCCCCTCCGCTCCCCTCGCCACCGGGGCAGCCGCTGTTCGCCGACCGCCCCCACGGGCCGCCCATCACCCTGCGGACCCGCTACATCCTGATCCGCGACGGCGGGAGCTGCACATCGGCTCCGGGAGCTGCACATCGGCTCCGGGAGATGCACATCGGCTCCGGGAGCTGCACATCGGCCCGGGAGCTGCACATCGGCCCGGGGAGCTGCACATTGGCTCGGGAAGCCGCACATCGGCTCCGGGAGCTGCACATCGGCTCGGAGCGCTGCCCCCAAGGCTCGCAGGCCACCAGCTCGCTGTACGGGCGAGCCGCCGAGGGGGCGGCCGCGGAGGGCCGCAGGCAGGAGTCGTGGGTCGCCCGTTCCGGAGCCGCACGGCCGGCGGCGCCGCTCCCGAGCCCTCCCGGCCAGGACGCTGCATCCCGGCCGGCTCCGCCACGGCCCCGACCGCTCCGAGAGGCGCTGGGGCACCGCGGGCTCCACCTGCGCTCACCGACGGCGGCACGGCGGCTGCTGGCGGGGCTCTGCCACAGCTTCCACAGCCACTGCGGCCGGGCTCGGCTCTCCTGGCCCGGCAGCCCCGGCAGGGTAGTGGCGGCCGCCCTGGGGGCTCACGGCCGCCCTGGGGGCTCACGGCGGAGACGCGGCTGCTGCTGCGGGACCGCCCGGGCGGCGCCTTCCCCGTCCGCCGGCGCTACAGGTGAGGCGGGGGCGGCAGCGGCCGGGGCGGCAGCGGAGCCACCATGGACAGCTCCGCGCCGCCGGGGGCTCGGCCCGACCGAGGGGCGGAGCGGGGCTCGGCCCGACCGCGGGCGGGGGGCGGTGGGTACCGGGGGATGCGCTGGGTACCGGGGGGATGCGCTGGGTACCGGGGGGATGAGGTGGGTACTGGGGGATGAGGTGGGTACCGGGGGGATGAGGTGGGTACTGGGGGATGAGCTGGGTACCGGGGGGATGAGGTGGGTACTGGGGGATGAGGTGGGTACCGGGGGGATGAGGTGGGTACTGGGGGATGAGGTGGGTACTGGGGGATGCGGTGGGTACCCGGGGGGAATATGCACCGGGCCACCCGTGCCAGAGGGAGGGGAGCTGTGCCATGCTGCGTGCTCCCTCCTGCCCAAGTTCTCTGCAGGGTGGAGGGCTCGGTATATCACCAGTTTGCTCCTTCCTTGTCTCCTTCAGGCAGTCCTGGGTGCTGGTGGGGATTCTCGGAGGGGATCAGCTTTCCAGAGCAGGAGATAAGCAGGAGTACAATGAGAAAGGAACAACGGGGTTAGCCATAGCCCAAAGAGATTTCCTCACCTACGACGGCACCTGTTTTACTGTTACTGCTTTCAATGGATGGATAAAAGGTTCAGTCTTCCCTGAGAATTTATTCTGTTGCCTTGCTCTGCTTTTCCGGTGTGGCTGCTGTGAATCTGAACAGTGCAATGATAATTATGCCATAGTCTTTGGCTCCCGTGGATGTTGACCAAGCTAACAGAAGTATTCTCTCAAAGTAATGTTTAGCTTTCTACAAAGCGATGGCACTAACATATTTAATGGCTAGAGCACTTCCATCATGCAAAGGGTTATCTAGATCAAAATTAAATCAGTATGCTCTTCATCTAACTGCATGATTCTGCCACGTGCAGCTGTAAAAATAATTGATTGCTTCATTTTTCAGGCATGCCTCATAGTGGATTTAAAGTGGAAGTGTCCAGAGGAATAATTCTTCATCTGGTGGATGAAGTTATGAGTTGGTTACCTGGTGACCTGGTATCATCACTGCCAGTACAGATTATTTTATGCATCGGCCTGAAGAGCTTAATCTCCTTCCTTGTCCAAGGAAAAACAGTCAAGTGAAAATTGATGGTATGAAATAGTTTTGTCAGGGTACTAATTTGTGATAAATATTTATATTATCTTGACTTTTATATTCTACATTTACTTGTCTTTTCAAGTAGATTTTGTCCCATAAACATCAAGGGTGCATATGAGAGCTGAAGGCCCTAATTTTAGTTTGGAGTTTGAAAGTTTTACCAGAGGCAGCAGTCCTTTGTAGCAGCCTCTGGGATGAGATACTGAAAACTGGCATGTCCCCAGACTTGGTGATTGTTTAAATGAAAGGTGTGCACTTGCTCAGAACAATTAAATAAAAAAGATGCTGTGTTCATCCTGAATAATAAGTTTTCTGGTTTCCACAGGCAGCCAACTTTGTCTCCACATTGGAGAGTCATAGGTGGTGTTGATATGAGGCAGAAGTTGGTTTTCTGACCAGAAATATACTTATTCGAGGAGAAATGGAAGACTCCTGTTATGGACAATATCAACGCCAGTTTTTCTCTTTTTGATACATTTGGAGGGCACATTAAAGTGAGTAATTTTTAATACATTTGCTTGTAGGTGGTTTCAGATAGTTCCTTTCCTGGTTTGTGAACAAGCAATATAAAGCATCAAATTACCATTTTGTGCGTGGGAAAAAGTATATTTGTCTATGAAAAAGGGGGAAATTTGTTAGCCTGTCTTGCGAAACTAAACTTGCAATGAGACATTTTCTTCATTATATCTCCCTTCGAGGGGGATTCCCTTCGAGGGGACTCTTTGGCAGCATCACTGTCAGTAAGGCCCATGCAAAATTACTTCATGAGATGTCACTGAAGGAATTGTGGCTCCTGCAGAGCAAACCTGCTGCCTCCCTGGCTCAGAGAAGTGCTGGGTCTCTCTCACCCTGTTGTGCTTTGCCTCCTCTTGGATGTCTCACATGTTCTGGGGGCAGCCTTGCTGTTGCAGGGGCTTTGTGTAAAGTTGCTCCTGCATCAGGCGGTGGAAACTGAGGAGCTGTGCAGGTCTGGGCTAAAATCACTCACAGGAGAAGCTGCCAGGAAATAGAGCCTGGTGGCAAATGCTCTAATGCTCTCCCCTTTCTGCAGTTGGCAGGAGCACCGTGTCTGTCACTGCTATTGCTAAACACTGCACATGCTGCTTGGCAGCTGCTGCTGGGCAGCGCCGTGCCCGGAGGTGTGCAGCTGCTGGCACACGGCTCTGCAGGTCCTGAGCTGCTGTGGGTGGAAACAGGGAGCTCACACTTCCTCCTGAGACCATGTTTCACTCTGCAAAAATATTGCCTAATGAGAGAGAAAAAAAGCCCAAACCTGTTTTTCTTTTTATGTGTGTTTCTATTGTAACTCCTTACCTGGATCTACATTTGTCTCAACAGATCCTAAGGAATTTTAGCTCTGTTCACATGTCAGGAGTGGAACTAAAAAGCATGGGGCAACAGATCCTGGGCAGTTACCCTGAGCATTTTCACCTGGCTGAGGATGTGGATGAGAGAGGAGGATATGAACATCCAGTGCACCTCAGTAACCTGGCTATCACCACTGCTTCTCGGGGTGGAACTCGTGGCCTTCTGGTAGGACACATATTTTATTAGTAACAAGTTCAGTTCTGTGCATAGCCAGGACTAAACAGCAAGAGCCATCAGTGATGCAAAGAGATATCAGAATATTGAAATAAGGCATCAGTTTCCCAAGAAATATCTTGACTTTGCCTTTGTTTGAATTAGGACTTTCCTCTGGTAGTGCAGCTGTTTGAAATAAATGTCAGGTTCTCAGCACAGCCTAATTATTATCAGATCAGATACACTGTGATTAGATACAGGGAAATCTTTGCCATGGTAATTCTGGACAGTTTGTGATAAAGGGAACTTTCATTTACAATTAAAGCAGTGAAATATAAATGGAGCTGACTGAAGTAATGGACCTTTAATTTGCAATGATAAAAAGACAGGGCTTGCTCAAGTCACAGTAACAAGAAATTTATCCCAAAACATTCATGTGACAGAGGGAATGAAATATGAACAGAACAGACCCAAATGATCACTTCAGTGCCAGAAAAGTCCTCAGGAACTTGGCTTTGACCTAGATCCTCACAAGGGCATTCTGAACTTATCAAAAAAGGTCACAACAAAAGCCATACATGTCCCAGCTGGAAAAGAGAGATATCTGCTCCAGCCCCAACATGTCCAGTTGCTGTGTGCTCTGCAGGACCCTGAGTGGTATTTTGGTGTCTGTGAGCATTTCCTCCCTCACTGGGTGGATGCTCAGGCTGACACTTCCTGACCTCCTGTGTTCTTCCTGACAACTTTTTCTCAGTCCTGTAAGGACTGAAAAAGCTGTGTAAGACACAAAATAGAGATATGCTCCATGTGTGAAAGGGCCCCCTGAAATAATGTATTCATGAAAACGCAATGCAGGACCTGTACAACACAGGAACACTCTTCATGTATCCTAAACTTGATTTATATTGTTCAGGTCACTCACAATTTTTATTGCCTTCTCATATTTGTGATTTTCTTTGTCTGTAGAGCGTGATTCTGTGTACAGAGTCAGGAGGCTTGTCCAATATGTGTGGATGTAGTTTAGCTTTCTTTCTTCCCCTTGGGTATTAAACCTCTGGAACTGAAGTAATGTGTCTGGGATGAAAAAAAAAGCCTTATGCTAATAATGGTCCTTAGAAGAATGGTGTATGGTCTTGCTCTTTATCAGAAGAGAGTAAGTACTGAAGGGTTTATCTGCATGTGTGGAGTGCAATAGAGTAATCAATAATCCAAGTGAGAGCCAGCCCTGGGCATGTGACCCTGAGGGCTTTGAGTACTTGAATCAGTGAGAAGATTTTATAGCAAAGATTAAATATGGGATTCTTTGAAAGATTCATGTGGCTTTGATCTGTATTCATTAAAATGAAGAGTAGCTAAAATGTAATAAACAGCCTTGCTTTAAAAGAATTTAAAATAATTTGCAGTTCCAGAGAAGAGCATGTGTATCAGAGCAAGGCAGTTAAATAACAGGCACCTGCTTCAGCATCAGATCATGAAATTCCAGCCCAGAGTAAACCAGAGAGGAGGTTTCCCCCCTCCCATCCTGAGGTTTTAGAGGATGTAATTTTAGATGTGCATTGCCAGAGTGGCTTGTGCTGCACTGTGTGGGTCAGGCAGAGCTGCCTGCGCTCCCCTTCTCCATCTGCTGCCCTGTGCCAGGCTCGTGCTGCTTTGCAAGGCAGCAGCAGCTTGGGTTCCTCGGGAGGCTGGGGCAGGCTGGGATGTGCCCAGCACTGGGCACATGTCAGGCGTGTGCAGACTGTCATTCAGGGCATAAAGGTCATAAATATTGTGTTGCTGAACTATTTATAATTCAGTGTTTAGAGGTGTCTTAAGCATCTGGTGCTGGCCACAGCAGCAAGGCTGCAGCTTGTGCTGGGGACAGTGTTTCATGCTGGCACAAAGAGTAAAGTGCTACTGTGACAGTGCTGCAGGTGGGTGCCTTTCCTGGCTTGGGTTTTCTATCAGTGGTATGCTGGAATTGATCAGTTATTGGGGTTTCGTTCTGATGGCATGGACCCTTATCTCTGAGTGCAAATGTAAGTGATCTTTAAATCACATTAGTCCTGGTCACGAGGGTGATCACTACGGTTTTGTGTGTGCAACTTTTCAGGGCTGCCCCTGAAGCCTGCAGCTGAGACTAATCATATTAATTGAAGCTAAAATCTGGTTTTGGATACAAGTCTGGCTTTTCATGCAGCCCTCTGAAGTACAATTAGCCAAACTGCAGCTAAATGCAGAAGAATGAAACTCTACAATTGAAATGCTGTTTAAAACAATGAGCAGTTTGTTGCTGCACTTTTCTGTCCCAAGCTGGTCTTGCATGGCCTCCTCAGCACAGCTTCTGCCCATCCTTTGGTGGGGGGGAAGTAGCCAGGCTTACTGATCTTGGCAGGCTGGCAGGGACACTTGCATTTTTGTCTAAATCCATTTCCTATTTGTGTTTCCAAGACTCAGCTGGCCAGGAGGGACATGACAGCTCAGTGGAATTGGCTGCTCAGTGTCAGTTCCCTGCTACCCTCCCTGTGGCTCACTCCAAGGTGCTGTACCCATGTGTAGGGTCCCAGTGGATTTCCAACACTCAGTCAGGGGGAGCTGGGTACCCGTGTACCTCGTTTTGTTGTGCCTTATTTTAAACTCTCTTTGGACACCTCATTGAGGCAGAAACAAGAGCAGCAGATGACAAGTTTGAGGGGTGGCTGCCAGGAAAACAATGAAATCCAGCAGAGCTATACCTATGGGGACCATACTGTTTGTGACTCCAGATGTTATGTACAGTTGCAGCCCATCAAGGGGAAATTACAGGATATGATTCCATGAAATGGATTTATTTCAAGTATCCCTCTGTATACAAAAATAACCAAGAAGGTTAATATTAATCTTGCAGTCTTGCACAGACATAACTGACGTCAACAGGAATTTTGTATGCCTGAAGAGGGAATATAAATGCTGACAGGGATCATTTGAGTACAAAGTTAAGGTTTCTGTAAGATTTAGTAACAAATAGCTGGTATTTTAACTGGCCTGATTTAGTATTTACATTTAAAAGAAGGATTTCTGAATTTATCTTCATAAGACTGTACCTCAAAGGAAGCTTGTGCTAAGCCCTTTTGGTCAAATTAGGGTTTAATGCAATATCCCTGAGCATGTCAATTAATATTAAGTAGACTGAAATAGTAAAATACCACCTCTACTCAAGATGATCATTAAAGGAAAGAAGTGGCCCTGCACCTTCTGAGAATGGAGGAGAAAGAATAGGAATCTCGTTAATATAAATTACTTTGCATGGTGCATTTTAAAGAATATCTTATTTAATTTTGGGGATGCTGTAGTCATAAAAATTTCTAGATTAACCATGCTGACTTATTGGTTTATCATGCAAGACACACTTATCTTTATGCATCTTTATGTAGATATTTACTCTACGACACTGAATCAAATATTCTCTCTGAGAGCTGAAGGTATTTTTAAATCCCGTATTTTGCAATTTTCCCTTAATTATGCATGTAATCTTCCTCAGAGTAGTTTTGAGATCAGTCCACAGTCGTGCACACTGCCTGTAGTTCCAGTCAGCTCCAGGACTGTCAGAGGCACCTCTCAGGGATAGAAGGTTTTAGCAGTGTTTTTATACATGATCTTTATTACTTACTTGCAAGGGGTGATATCCAATGAAGTAAGACAACAGATGGCATTGCTTCTATAGTTATATCTGGCTTCTGTGTGTACCACTACTGATCTTCCCTCTGAAGAAAAACTCCTTACTGGGACAAACATCACCATTATATCTCCTTAATCTTCTTCTTAATGGGCCATTTGCAGCTTGCAAAGATATTTGGGTTGTTTTTTCATGTAGAAGTTTCATAAATTCAGAGAGAATCCCTAACTCCTGCCATTGCCCCTAAAGTTTCAAAAAACAGACCAGAAGTTTCACTTCCGAGATATTTTCCAAAGCTTCTTAACTTAAAAAAAACTCTCAACCCTTGGATTTCCTTCAGCTGCACTGGACAGAGCGTGGATTTTGTGTTAACGTTCACATATAATTTACAATAGGTTCAGCATGTGGCTCCATAAATGACCATGTCTGACATTACTAGATGGTTTATTTTCCTTAAAGAGTGTCATTAAAAGGTTGTGTGGAGTTTTAAAGTCAATAGGAGAGTTGTGGCTCAAGTCCAGGGCAGAGCTATGAAAATGTATCCCTTCCTGTTTGGTAACTGCTTAGGATCATTTTGATTTTGATTTTTCAGGGCTGTCAGCACGTTCTGGATTGCAAATCCAAACAACAACTTAATAGAGAATGCAGTGGCTGGTGCTCAGGTAAAACCATTTAATGGCAGAACTATGCTTTGCCTCCACTTTCCAAATATTCTACACTTATTTATCAATGTCAGGAGCAATAAGTTTTTAGTAAGATATAGAATTTGGATATTTATTTCTGCAACCTTTTTCTCTGTTAAGAACAAATATTTGCCTACACTTCTCCATTGATTTCTCTTACAACTATGCCTGGAAATAGTGTGTGATATCTCTTAGAAAACATTGATTTTTATTAGTAGTTAATAGCTAAATGCTCAATAAAATTTTATATTTCTATATATTAATACATACTCTCTCCTTATTATTATCTCTTATGTTTACCCAAAACATGTTTCTGTTTTATATATCTGTACGGACCTGGCTGTTTTCTAATAAATCACCTGAATTTCACACACAATAAATGCAATTTTAGAACCCTTGTGTGTGCCCTGGGGACCTACTGTGCACGCCAAAGGCGAAGCTGGGAGGTGTAGGAGTTCTGGGCTGCTGTGTGTCCCCCAGGACCCACATGTTGGACTGGCTCAGGTCAGCAATCTGGCCAGCACAGTGTGAAAAGCTGCACTCCCAAGGTATCAGTGATTGCAGTGCCCCATTTTTCCGACCTCCCTTTTTCTTTTAGGATTTTGGGATATGGTGCCTCTTCCACTGGGTCCCCACCAGGCAGTCTGAGGAAGACACCCAGAGGGACAGGCTGAACACACCCTGGGAGCGTTTTACCAGAGTCCACTCCAATTCCAAAGTACGTGATGGTTTTTATGTTTCTGTCAATATAACAGCGTGACATTGACTGTGTGTGCTGCTCGGTGATGCTTGTGGTGGCTCACATTTTGCTAAAGGTCTTTTTAACACTGTATCAAGACACAAGCAACTTTTGGGGGCCCTGTTTGTTCTAAATATGAAAGAGGGAGCTGAGGGGAGTAGAGGTCCTGTTCCAGGAGCTTCAGCTGGGTGGCTGTGTTAGAGGGAATGTGCCCAGGCTATGAGTACACCTACTCTAAGTCAGATTTAAGGAGAGACAGGCAGGACTCTCAGCACTGCTGTTGACCACAGTGATGCCAGGATGTAAGGGGATGAGGGAAAGTAATTTGTGCCAATGACTGCTCATCACCTCAGGAAAACAAGACCAAAATTCAAGGGTAGTTCCAAGAAAAACACTTCCCCCCAAATATACTGTTGACATGAAAACATTACCTGTAAGACATAAAAAACATTTTAAACTTATTTCTCCATATTCTAGCTAGAAATTGGATTTGTTCACTGTGCTTTGTATATTTTACATCATGGTCCATGGCAGCTGCTGCTCTAGCCCAAAGCCTGTAAGTTGGCTGCAGCAGCTCATGTTCTCTTCTGACTGTCGGGGGACTCATCACTCGTTATTTAAAGCCTTAATTCTTAACAACACTCTTTTTCCAAAAAGTTATCAAGAGCTTGGCAGGGTCCCTTATTGCTTTCTGCGAGGGAGGGAGAGTGGGAGTTCAGAGCCTTGTTTTGGGTCAGGAGAGAGCCCCAGATGCTGATGCATAACACATGGCAGGGCAGGCTCTGTCCTGGCTCCAGCGGGCTGCATCCTGTGCTAATGTCACCCTGCCAGGGCCAGGAGCCACCGCAAGGCAGGGACAGCCCTGGCTGCCGCTGCTCCTGTGCCTGCACGCACTGCCTGCCCACGTTCATTGATAAAATCTCACATCTTCCGTCCCAGCTGAGCGATCTGTTAAAGTAACGGGGGGCGTGTGCATCTCCAGGCTGGTTTGTTTATTGGAAAAGGAGTAAAGGCAGTGAGAGCCTGAGTCTCTCACTGGCGATAATGCCAGGTAAGCACATGCTGCACAGCTCGGTGTTTTGGACAGTTGTACTGCATCTTGGCTTCTGCATTGCATTTAGCAGATCATTAATGCCTCATTATGGCTGGAGCATCTGAAAAAAACCACAGCCTTTCTCTGATGTGCAGAGGCAACTATTCCATAGCTATGCACTGGATTGTTTGTGTTATTGCTGGCCAAAAAGGACACCCATGCACTTGGGGTTGTGAGGACAAAGCAGTGAAGCATGTGGAAGGGGATCCAGATCCCATTAGTGCATTAGTGGGTTTGTAAACTCTAATATTTATTACTAATTGCTTAGAAGAACTTACATCTGAAAGGTGATGTAAGAGGCTGCTGAGATTGGTCTGGGATTAATGAAGAAAATAAATAGCCTCAAAGGTTTTTGTCATCTGCTTTGAAATGTCTGAGCTTCCTTTTGCAGAGTGTAAGCAGGTAAATTTAGGCCATTTTCTGCTTTGCTGCAGTCCTATGGGTCTGTGTGAGGAAGCTGAGAGAAATCACCTGCTGCTCCTGGCCAAGCCTTGGCTTTTTCTCTCCTCCATCATACCCTATCACTATGATGTTCCCATAAGTCTGAAAGGAGAGGATGACTGTGTGTCCCTTGTGACATTTCCCTGCCAGGGTCACCCCCTCGGGCACCAAGGACACACGTGCATTCATACCTCACCTGGAAGAAGTAGGAGGTGAGGGTAGACTCAGAAAAAGCAATGGTCATTTTTGTCCCAGTCATAGCACAAATCTACTATTAACAGCCACTGTAGCAAGAAATAGCCTAAGTAATTCAGATGCACCCAGTTCCCAGGGAGAATATTTTTGCTTTTGACAGCTCCTCTTCCAGCAGCCACAGAAGCATTTGGGGGTTTGGTCTGTGCACGCAAGGAGAGCAGCTCCAATTACTCTGTTAGTTTTGCTGAATGAGATTCCTGGAAGTCTAATTGATTTTCCAGCATCAACAGAGGGATTCTCAATGGGCCCTGTAAAGACATCTACAAAAGGATCTGAATGACTTGGGAAAAATGTTTTCTATCCCTCTAAATCACATTGAATCAAATTGAGGAGTAGCTGTGGGCTCATTGGTGTCTAGTGAGAAATCACCTGCTCACTTCACCTGGGCCAGAATTTCATCATTATGAATGTTTCTTGTTTTCTGCTTTACACCAAAGCTCAGAAGTGAAATCAGGCTAATATCCTGACTCTGATTCAGGGCATATCACCTCTTTAGACCCACCATGCCAATAACTGGAAGACAAAAAAGATCTCCTGGGCATTACTGCCTCTGTTTGAAGTTGATTCTTGTGTCCCTTGTGCTGCATTAACTGAGATTCTTTCTTCAGGTTTTGCCCACATCAAGATGCTGTTCCTGAAAAGCCACGGGTTCCTGCCATGATTGATGGTCTTATTGCTCTTAAAAATAATGTCCACAGGGCCTGGGCCAGGGATGGTGACATTATTTTCTGCAGCTCAGGGTAAGTTACTGTTATATCATTCCCCCCACAACAGGCATAAATAGGTCTGTAGGCCAAGTTCACTGCAGATATTTCTTATCATTTACACCATTGTGTTTCCTTTGTCCCAGGTTTTCAGACAATGGAATTGGACTCACTCTGACAAGGTAATTTCTTAAAATGGGTCTTCTTGCCATTTTTTCCCCCAGTGTAACATGCTCAAGAATGGAAACTGAGACATTCCCCTGCTAATACAGGAGAAAAGCTTCTATTTCCTCTCTTGACCACATCAGGTCTTCCCTGGGCAGCCATAAATACAAGGGGAAATTCAGCCTTTCATTCTCTTTGCCTCAGCATGCCTGGGGAATACATCAGAATTGCTGAATATTTCCTGCTGAACAGGAGGTCCTGATGCTCAAGCACAAAGCTGCCTTGTCACTGACTTACTGGTTTCTAAACATACTTTAGAGCAGGCTCTTATAGAGCTGCACATACCTTTTTCCAAATTAAGGACACAAATTTTACTGTGTCTGCGGTGTAATTAAAAGTGTTAATTAATTGGTGTGTTGTGCTGTGTATTTATGTGGTGTTTCTTTGCTTGCAGTGATGGGACTTTCCCAACAGACAATGGCTCCAGCCTGGAGGTTACATGTTCCATTTTTGTTGGAGAAAGCAGCAACTTTGGCTCCCAGGGAGGCCAAAACAGCTACTGGAGAAAAGGGGCAAATGGAGAACACAGAACACTGCCCAGAAACAAGTGAGTTATTCTTCTGCCATTTCTTCTTGGCGTTAGCTTAAGGTAGAAGAAAAGCCCCAGGAATTAATGTGGCTACCAGTGAGTAATTTATACCAGGTGCTTAAATTATTGTTCAGGCCAGAAATAATAAGCATCCAAATAAACTTACTCTTCAGGCCAACAGCTTGAGAGCATTCTTGATTGAATGTGTTTGATTTAGTTTTCTCTTTGGTTTATTAGTCAGTGGAGAATGGATTAGAGAATCTGACTTATGCCAAATGGCTCTTGTGTGGTGCTGCAGTGGTGCAGCATCAAGGTGTTTGTGTTTAAATCTCCTAGGACATTCCCTGTCCATTGATTCCAGATTTATGATGGGTCTATCAGGATGGCAAGATGCACTTTCAAGAAGTTCACCCTGACTGTTCACAGATACTCAAGTGCCATCGGGTTTTTCATGATAAATTCCTGGCAGATCAGCCCTCAGAACAATGTGTCACAGATCCTGATGGAGAAAAGTGTAAGTGAGAGAAGCAGAAATGTTTGCTGTTAGATGTGATAGGTTTTGAAGTCTTTAGCAGTGGTGAGGGATCTATCCTAGAGCAGGATTTCCAAACAGAGGTGTTTGTTACATTGGTGCATGCCATCAACTAATTTTGAAACCCTTTTCTTCTTAGTAATGAAGGTAATTTATAAGCAAGTAAAATTTGATATCTTCTGCCTGGGCAGACATTGACAAAGAAATCTGCATTGGAGAAAGGTTTCACCTTGTAATCAGAACACTCAGAACACAGATCTTAGGTGGTGCAGCACTGCCAGTTGCTGAGGACATGGCCTCAGAGGTTGAGAGACTCACACAGCAGATATCAGGAGCCAATAAGCTGCAAAACAATTCTACAGAAATAGCAAATGCACTGAGAAGCAAAGCCATGACCCAGTTTCTGAGATCAGCTGTGAAATTCCTGTTCACAACAGGGACTTCCCTTGAGCTGTGACAACAGAATGGGGCTCTGTATCTCTGCCTTGGCAGAAGCTGAAGAATACTGAGCAATTCCAGTCCTTGCCCTGGATTCCTGTAGGGATCATGACCCTGGATACTTGGCTTTGGAAATGATGGATTGCACCTGGCTCTCTCCAGGAATCATGACCTCTGCTTAGCTTTTTTCAAACAAGGTCCATAGTTAGGATGTCCACGAACTGCAGTAACTTTGGCTTGAGGTTTGGCTTTACCTTGAGGAAAATTTCCATTGCTCTGAGATTGACCAATATCTCTCCCTCTGGCAAGCAGAGAGTTGATCTGTCCCCTCTCTGGTACACTTTAGACCAACAAGGAGGGGGTATTTCATGAAAGGATGATGTTGATCACAGTCACTTAAATGCTCCTCTGAGTAAAAAACATCGTCTCTGTACATTTCCATGAGATCTTAATTGCCTTGGATGCTTTATGGGCCTTTGAAACAAGAGTAAGGGGTAATTTGCTGTTCCCTCTTCATGTGTTCCCTTGGGGAAATGGTTATAAGATGGTCATGGGGAACAGCAACAAGAAAATCAACATGGAACAGTGGAGGGGAGCTTAGAGAAAAAAATGTTTGATCAATGAAGTGGAAGAGAGTGGAAAATTTCCTCCAGTAATGGCTGTAGCACTGTTCACAAGAATGGTTTCAGACAGGTGATATCTGTACACATTGCAAAGGGTTGATTATACCTTGAATGGCTGAAAAGGCAACTATTTAATACAGTTACATTGAGGCCAATGAGCCTGCTAAATGTGCAGCACTGTCTGTTTGAGAGGCAGTTCAGTAGTGCAACACCTTTAGGATCGAGGGTTTTCAAAGTAAAAATGGTCAGAAGATTTCCTAAATAATTCTGCAAACAAATGAAACAAGTGCAGTGTAAGCCTATTAGGGAAAAAAAACCCAAAACCCCAAACAAACCCTAATGACATGATCTCAAGAATTATTTATTATTTGTATATTTCCAAGAAAAGATCAACTTCTGAAACTGCTACTTTGCCAGCTTAAAAACCATGTGTTATTGTAAGCACCTGCATCCTAGCAATTTTCACTTTGATTCTATTTTATCTGGATTGAAGCCAGATGTGATACATCTGATTTTATACTTGTAGGATCACAGACAGTTTATTTTTTGTTGTTGTTGTTGTTGCTCACTGCTATATGGGGTAATATATCTTTGCCTAGTTAAGATAGAGCCTGTCAACCATTTTAATTAATTTTCCATTTCCGGGCTTCTTAGTTTTATTAGCCATTTTATTAGTTTTTAAAGGATGGCTAAGTACTAATTCCCTAAAGTACAATCATTTTACTGTTGTTCTTTAAGAAGAAATTAAACATTACTGCAAGTTGTACAGTGATGACAAAACTATTAGTCATGCTGAAGCATAATTGCATAATTAATCAGACTAATCAGCAGATTGGTTAGACAATAAAATAATAGAGCCAGTCAGATCTTGTTTAATTCCAGCATAAAAATAACAGTGAAGCACAACAGAAGCCCTAAATATCGCACCCCACACGAAGGATTCTAGCTGTCTATCCATTGACAAAGCTAAATCTCACATCTTATCTATGCATTATCCATTGCAACATTACTGCTGGGCTGGTTTGTTTGTTTTGAGAAGAGTGTTTTAAACAGTTATTTCAGAGCAGTGGAAGCAGCAGCTGGCTGTAACCCAGCTGAGGGATGACCCTGCTCTGCTCTCCAGTGTCTCTGTCAGTCAGTAGCACCTGGAGAGCCCGAGGAAGATGCCCCAGCCCAGAACCAAGCCATGTCCACACACTGGTGCATCACTGCTTCAGAAGACCTGACATATCTCCTTTTAGTCACAAAACAGCCACCCAGGCACCCCTCTGTCCCCCTCAGGCACAGAGTGGTGTGAGGAGCAGGAGCAAGGCCACCTGCAACACGTGCAGGACTCCCAAATTGTCCCAGCTCACATCCACTGCTAAAAGCCCCTCAGGTCATTCTGTCCCTGCAGCCAGGAGTTCAGGGTGGATTCCATCCTATCCCACTCCTGCCTGTGCCAGCCCTGCCACACCTCAGGAGTTGCTTCTGCCAAAGGAACCCCTGTGCTCTGTGTTGGGTGGGTTTGTGGTGCCCAGGGGAGCTCACAGGGGCCAGCACTGACCCCTGGCCTTGGACTAGCAGCTGCCATGGGATTGCAGTCCAGCCTAGCTAAAACATGGCCTAGGATGGACTTCCTAATGTTGACTTTGCTGTGTTTAGCCTGTGTTGTTTTAGTGCTGGGTTTCTGTGTCAAAGCATACATTTGCAAACAGCTCATGATGGGAAAAAGAAAAGCAGACAGTTGAAACCTGTTATTTCCTGAAATAGAGAGCAGGAAAAAAACAGTCCCAACCTTAAAGAGACTCCTGACCAAAGGGAACTTGGCAGGAAGAGGGTTTGCATCACTCCAGCAGAGGAAAAGCCATGGGGACAGAAACCTTGGGTGGTAAATGAGATAAAAATGGTTTTATTAAAATGATAGCAGTGATACAGGGAGATGTCTTTTGTTGGTAGCTTGTGCAAGCACTTGAATGTTACAAGAAGTTACTAATTATTACAATGATTTCCAGCAGCTTTTTATTTTTTAGTATAGAAAGTGCAGTCATCAGGGTTCCCTGCAGGTGTGTTAGGTGCTGCCTTTGGACAGGTTGAGTAGGCACATTCTTAAGAGATTACAAACAGAACACTGTCAGGCTTCAGACAGGTAACTCAAGTATCCTTTATAGTGTGTCACTCAGAGGTAGCCACACCTAGTGAGAATTAGGTGTCTGAATAGTGTGGTATCCAGACATGACCTGCCTCTGCACCTCCTTCTAGCTCATTCCCAGGTCCGTGCGAACAAACCTGAGGAGCAGAGTCTTTGTTCCTGTGTGCTCTCTCAGGAAAAATTATACAGTGCCATAGCTGTAACTGCAAACTCAGCTGCACTCCTCTCCCACAGCGTACCAAAGTAAGGTAACCTTGAGGCTTATGCAAAAGTGACACTGCTCATTAGAATTTCCACTCTAATTCTGATTTTCAGACTTTTCAGAGGAGAATGTTAGAGATAAGAATAAAGTTAGCACCCAGACCGTCTGCTGCTGGGTGGAAACACTGTGAGTGTTGATCAAATGTAAGATGTACTGGCTGTGCCTTCGTTTGGCTTGAAGTGCAGTTTGACTTTGTTCTCCTCCCCAGTGAAGTGTCTGTTTTCATATGCAACTCCAGAAGTGCCATCACAAATTATTTGTTATGGAGTTTTGAGCTGCTGTACAGTGTTTATATTTTTTAATATCTCATATTTTATAAATTAAAATTAAAGGGAAAAAAAAATAACAACAAGTTTTGGGATCCTCCTAGGCCAAGTAGCCTTTTGGGGAAAAACTTCCTGTGGTGCATCAAAAAAAGATTTTAAAAACCTCAGAAATGCATCTTAAATTTCTGAGCCTCCTTTAAAGGAGACTGCCTCAAGTATTTATGAGATTCATACTTAGACAAGAAGGTGGCAGAAAATGGTTCGAGGCTTTAATTTCATTTTAAAGGAATAAAGACTTTTATTCTGCAAGTAGTTGTTGCAGCAGGGTTTGGGTTTTTTTTAAGGCGATGGACTTCTCATCCAACTCAGAGTCACAATAACCCTCCTATTCTCCTAACCCCTTCTGTTTATTATTGTTTAAAAAAAGCCTTTAAAGCCCTTAAAAAACTTTCAGCCTAATCCTGCTGACCCTAATTCTTACTCATGTGCACAGTGCAATTAAAATGAGCTGGGCTAAATGGAACAAATGAAGTCCTTTGGGTGGGCACGATCCTGTTGTTATTTATGCTGTCTGCTTTTATGTGCATTGCTGCTGGATTCATTCAGAGTGCTTGACCTGGAGTAATTATTTTCTTGATTACTTCGGAACTTAATCTTCACACCCTGTAATAATTTCATCTGCAGACATTAAAATATTCCACGCTTCTTCTGCTGAACATCTGCAGTTTCCTTGTTTTGATTTATTTTCATATCAGGACAGATATTTTTACTTAGCTACTGAAAAATCTTGAGAGCAGAGCTATGCACAATGAGGATAATGCTTCTTCCTGTTATTTCTCTTTCCTTAAAAAAAAACAAAAAACATAGGATATATTAGAATGTGCATGACAGCCAATTCTGAGAATTTAAAACTTATAAGTTTTATGGGAGTTTAGGAAGAACAATTAGGAAAAATATGGTACTGACAGAACCACTTAAAAGGGACATTGAAAAGATATGAGAAAATTCCACAAATAGCTAGGTTTTTTTTTTCTTTATTAACAGCTGTGATATTCCTCAGTAAATTTCATAATCATCCAGTATTTTCCTACACTTTCAGTCATCCCCTTCTTTTGCCACTGTTCAGTTTATTGCTGTGTGATTTCAAGCAACACATGGTGGTGTGGGTGCACTTCAAAGAACCAAAAGTCTAATTTTTGTGGAAATATCTCCTGGGATTAAGAAATGAGAGGGAGAACCAACACGGTTGGCATATTTTCTAAACAGAAGAGGCAAAATAAAACTGCTCAGACAATGGAGCTTCCCAGTTCCAGTTCTATCACTGTCAAAACACTGCTAAGCTGAGTCCTTACTTTGAGCTAAGCAGTGATTTTTCACCTTATTTTCTCCTCTAGGTTGGACTGAAAGTGTTTTTTTGGCAGACCAGGCCAGTGGTTTGGAAACAATCACTATGAAAATGTCCCATGGTGTGGATGGCTGGGTGACAGGGTATCCAGACACCTTCAGAGGCAGAGCAGACAGAAACTGCTGCCTCAGTTTCCCCTGCTGGAATGGGATGACATGTTCTGGGAAACTCACAGGTAACGGGGCAGCCCAGCCAGCACCAGATATTCTGGAGAGGGGGGAGACAGTGAAGCTGCTCAGCACTACTCACACAAAGGGTGAACAATAAATTTGGTATGATTTTGCTGCAAATTGAAATTCAGATGGGGGAAAATTTGGTGTTTTCTTGTTGCAGGCATTTGTCCACACCATCATGGGGCTCTGGTGGATTGTTCTGGTGAATCAGGTTTCAGTAAAGGAAGAAGTTACTTCTGTAGTAGATCCTACTTGTGTTCAGGGTGGTGAAATGGGTGGTTGAAATGCAAACTCACACCTATTTCTTATTTCCCATGAAGAAATCATAGGTTGAGAGATGGCCTTAAACCTTGCCAGCAGTGAATGTCAGAGTCAAACACAGAGTATGCATGTCTCCTTAAGCTAAAAGAGTTGGATGCATTTGCTTTAGTTGCACAGCAGAGAGCAGGAGTTGCTATTTAAGTATCTAAACTCTGGAATTAAAAACCCTGGTGTGTTTTGGCTGGGCAGAAACAGGATTGGGCTCCTGTGAAACAGTCCCTTTGAAATAGGGTTTTGTCCTTGGCACTTAGTTTGGCTCTGTGTCTCTAGAGAAATAATCATCCCTGCTCTGGCAACCTAACAGTTAAATTCTGAGTTGCAAACAAGTAGGCATTTATATTTTTATTTCTATTAATATCCTCCTGGTTATGGCACTCTACATAGTGAGACAGTTTTTCCACCATAGAAAATTTCCTTGGCTAGGTTTAGGCAAGCATAAACATTTACTTCTCTGGGATCCATTACTTACCAGCATTTTTCAACTAGTAAGCATCCAGCAGGATGAGTAAAGGTCATATTAAATGCTTCACTTTATGGGTTTTGGGGAGGGAAATATAGGTATGTGCAGGGTAGAAGAAATTGGTCTCGTGCCGCAGGGTTTGATTAATTTTGAGGATAACTGAATATTTCAGCCTCACTCTGACTCTCAGCACCCTTTCTAACTGGTGGCTTGTTTGTCTGCTTAATTTTGAGCGTCATACTTCAGAGAAAAAGCCCAAAAGAGTGAATCCAATTATGGAGAAAGATGGTTTGCTTTGATCTTAACAACTTTATGACAAAATCTGTTTTTATGTTCCTTTTCATGTAGCTCTGGTAGACAAGAACTTGTATTCTCCCCTAGTGCAAGCAGGTGAAAATATCCTTTCAGCTGAAGGAAATAGTGACTCCTGTGTTGCTGCTGAATGGAGCCCAAGATAGTCGGTCTAGGGATGGGCTACTTGGCATGGGAAACTGAGATCCAAGTCCTTCACTAACATTGCAGGCAAATCCTTTCTGAGCTAAGTGCCTGGAGTACAGTTAATTCCTTTCTGCTTGGTTTCTTCCATTCCCATTTCATGCCCCTCTTCTCCTGGATGTAATTCGCCCAAAAAAGGAAACGCCTTGGGAAAACCAATTTCTCTGGCAGTGTTTCTAGATCCAAAAATCTTGGGGATGGGCTTTCCTGGGGGTGTTTTAATCCAGCAGCTCAGGCTGACATTCCCACCCTCTGTGGTTGGTTCGTGGTCCTTCCTCCTCAGTGTCTCCAAGGAGCATCAAATCTCATTCCCCCTGTGGTGTCCAAGGGCTTCCTTCAGCAAGGAGCACTCAGGAGCACCTCATGGTTTGGGGACCACCTAAAATTATGAAATTCACTAAGCAAGAACTACCAGGCCTTTTAGTTCTCCCTTTTTGATTCTGCAGTCTGTAGGGTTGTTGTTGTCCAAACAGGACCAACTCCTTTGCTCTTCAGTGACAGCTGAGACTCCCATGTTGTAATGTAAATAAAGCAAGGCTTATTTAAAGGAGGAACACTAAATAGAGGGAAAGTCACAGGGAAGTCACAAGAGCTGCCAGCACCACATCTTCTGGCAGTCTCTGAGTCACTCAGACTTCACCATTGGGGCACCAAGGTCCTTGGTGTCCCATCAACCTGATTTTCAGCTGTTGCAAAGGCCAATAAAGAAGGAAAAATGTAGGGTGAGGCTTCATTGCTGTCTCCATATAGGTGTGTGAGATTTCCAGTGGCACAGAGCTGGAGACTCTTTGACACCTGCAGTACTTGTTACAATGTAAATGAGATTCCTAAACCTTTTTTGACTTATATATAAATTATAAGACAAGTGCTTTGGTTCAACTGGGCAGTTGAAGCTGTGCATTTACTGTTTGCCTGCAGATTTCACAGCAGCACATCAGGGGAGCTCCTCTTGAGTGAAACTTCTCTTTTTTGGTATTAGTCTTTATTAAAATAAGCAGAATTTTTGGCAGTATGTGCTGTTTTCTTTTATAAGCTTAAAAGGGTGTTAGACAGTCATAAGAGACTGCCACAAAGCCAAATTAGTTACAGTTTTGAATTTAAAATAATTGATGCCTTGCAATTCTAAAATACTGTAGGAAATGCTGTTGATTTTACACCTGTTCACTTAGTCACTCCTTAACTACCGTTGGCTGAAATATAAATTATTCCATTTTTGTTAACTCTGTTCTTGCAGTGAATGTTTGCAATTGGGCTGATCCTTCATCTCTGGGTTTTACATCTTCAGCTGCTTCTGTGGCCTCGGTGCCTCTGTGGCTGGATTTGGTTCTGATGCTCTTAAACGTAAATCAAGCAAGGGGTACAGGAGGTAGTGAGCAGTGGTTTTCCAGCCACAGGAAATTGTACAGCCCCAGGATATCTGTGGTGCTTGAGGATTATCAGCACCTCACACACTGGGAAGAAGGAAAAGCCTGTGAGATGTTTTATAGTTCATGGTGTTTGTATTTGGATAAAGAGATTTAGTTTGGATCTCTGATGCACATCACTACAAAACCCTCATGCCAGTGACGTCCCAGCATGTCTTAGAGAAAGAAAGCTACATTTTTTTCTTTCTGCAAGAATTTTAAAGCCTTCACTTGGAATTTTCATTGAGAAAATGTTTTTCCCTAAGATATTAACATTTTTTTGAACAGTCAGTCAACCAGAAAGGGAGAAGGTATGTTTTGATCTTTTCATTTTTGCCCCAGCATGACAGCTGACAGCATGACAGGACAAAAGCAAGAGTAATGAAACAAGAAAGCAAGAAAACCATTCCTCAGAAATCAAGATTGTCATTTCCAATACTTGGCATGTTGCTTATCTTCATACTCGCTCTCCAGTTGAATAGCAGATCCCTCTGAATTGTAAAGACCTTATCTTCTCAGTTTCACAATCTACTTGGGAAAATTGCCATGTAAGCATGGGGCAATCTGACACATCTCTTCAGCATGAAGTGTCAAGCAGCTAAAATGACAACTATTTCCATTAAACCACCCAAGCAATTAGAAGCCTCACGTTTTATGTTTTAACCAGTAGGAGAAGTCCTATCACATTAATTTGTCATCACTTCTCTTATTTTTAAAGTCTCTTTGTGACCCATTTTCTTTTAGAGATTTTGATAGAAGTAACCAGAAATTATGGAGGTGGTTCTCAGGAAGATGGATTTTTGTTATTCTAGAAAGTGGATGAATTTTTCATTCCTGTTGACTTAGTGATGTTCCACATGGGCAAAACAGTCTCCTCACATAGGATCTGGATTTCTTCATCAGGGCTGTAACCTATTTTAGTAAGAAACATGTTCAAAGATCTGTCAGATATACTGCTGTATTTTTATGGAACTGAAAATCACACTCTTGCTGTTTTGCAGTTCTGGAGAGCATTCACTCAGTGGCCACTGTCACTGCAGGAGACCAAATGACACTCTACAAGTAATTTACAAGTTAATTTACAACGTTTCTATAATGCATATGTGGCATTTTCCCTTGTTTTAGTTATCACCATTTCATTCTCCAAACAGCTGTGATCATTATTCTCAATGTCAGACCTGTGACTTTCTCCCTACACACCTGGAGGAAAATGCCACCAACAAATCCCTGACTCCCTTTTTTTTTTTTTTTTAATCTTTACACAAATAGCTTAAAGCACATAGGAATCTTTTGTTCTTGGTAACCTGTAATCTAGGAATCTTTGGGACTCATTGAATGCATCTCCTTCCTTTCTTGGCTTTTCATTGGTGTATTTAATTTTGTAGTAAGTGCAATATAAGTGTTCATTCCAACTGGTTTTCATTAGAAAATGCTGTTTGGATTGAGTACAATTAATACACTGATGGGATTTCAGGTCTGAATGTATCTGATGGATCCCCTGCTCTGACCTCAGCACTGCCCCATCCTGATGGGGCCAAGTGAGATTGAAATGAGGGTTATTGTTTTGTGTGTTATTGGCTTTCCAACTATGGTTTAAATGTAAATGCAAAATAGTTTTTTCTTCTTGGTTTTATAGATGAAAAAGGCTTTTTTTTTTTTTTTTGTCAGACTGTTAAATAATTCAGTCTTTTTTGATCCATCAAGAATGAGCAAATGGGTTACTGCTCAGAGATGTTGGGGGTGAATTACTTGATCAATAGTTTCAGCCATCAGGAAAAATTGATGTTAATGTCATTCTGGATCCAACTTAATCTTCCAGTATCTGCAGATACCACTCAGAATAGCTTCTCATCATTGAAGTCTAATGGTGTGAAAGGAGGAGTGGACTGGATATCTGAGAAACTTTCACAACCACTTTTGGACTTCTCCTTTGGCATGAGACCCAAATGTTTAATTTAAGCATTCAGCATGAGGCTGCTGGATCCAGGGGTGAGAGGAAGGGTAGGCAAATGTGGTCCATCTATTGGAGATCCTTAGGAGCTCAAAATCAACACCAGGAGCAGGAACAGCAGCAAGATCCTTCTGAGCATGAAACTGGAGTAAGGCTGAACTCACGTGAATCCCTAACTAAAACAAGCCCACATACAAACCAGTGAGAGATAGCTGGTTTTGCAGAGCTTTCAGTTTCTGCAGACAAGAGGAGGATATGCAGATCTGGAGATGTGAGTGCCCTGCTTTAGCAGGCAGATATCCTGATAGATGGAGTTTTAACCTCTCTGCTAGTCTTGGCTGCACTCGTATCCTTGCGAAATTAAATCTGATAAGAAACTACTGCTTCCACTCAGATCTACCTCAAAGACACAAATTGAGTTTAAAAATAATTTTGATGGACGGATGCTTGTGTAGAAGTTTAGACATTTGTGAGCTACCAGGGATTTCTATGTTGGATGTTTCAAGTTCTTGATGCAAAGAGTGTTATTCTACACTGTAGGAGAGTGAAGGCAGTAGGATTATAGATGTCCTCATTTGTCCTTTGTGCATCTGAAACCCTTAGGGAACATGACAAGCTGCCTGAAACAGCCCTGCATGCAGAGACAGATTTATATGACTAGCTGTGCATCCTCCTTTTGCACTGGAATTTCACATGGTGGAAAGCAGGGCAGTGTCAAACATTCAGCCTTCAAACTGTTTGCCACACGAATTTGCCTTTGAGTGATGGCAGGGCAGAAGAAGCACACAGCTGGAGTGTTGGTTTTGTACTTGGTCTGTAGAGTTGAGCTACAGGTCAGAGGCATCTCCTGGTCCCTGCAAGAAGAGATTTGCTGAAGTCTTGACTTTGGTATTTAGTCTATAAGGTCATATAGTCAGGACATCAAGTTTTAGCCCCCAGAATTTCAGCCTAGTCTGCTACTTGAGAGCAAAGATGTGGATTCTATTAGATAACTGGGCCTAGTCCAAAGCCCATTGAAATAACTTCAGTTTTCTGTATTTTCAATGGAATAAGCCTGTTTTTAAAGTGCGCTTATTTGAATTAATAAAAAAAAAGAGTTACTTTGTGATGCTTCCTTGATTACCCTTCTCCCTAAAGACTTTGAATAGTGAACATTTTTATGGCACTGTACATCTCGTATCTCACTTCATGGTGTCCCCATGGATGGCTGCAGATGCTATTTCTGGCTTACCTTTTTTATTTGAACTGGAAATGTTTCAGTGACTTTCCAAATGTTCTGAACTCTTCATTGGCAGAAACCATTTACAGGCAACGATGATCAAATGCACATGTTATGGCTGTGCCTGGCTGGTTTAATGGATGTGTTTCTCATTTTCCTTCCACCCTCAGCTTCACATCCAGGCCAGATGCCCCAAGAACCTGACCTTGCACTGCCAGAGCAGCATTCCCTTCCCATCCCATGTGGCTGCCAGGCATGTGCCAACAGTGCCAAGCCTGTTGTCATGCTCCAGCAGGATTAAATCCTCCAGTGGAATGGCAGAGCACCTGAAAACGTCACCCTGGACCCCAGCAACTTCAACAGGTACTGCCCTATGTTGATAGAAAACGTTCAGTTTTTCAAAGGTCTGGAGCTTCATCATTTTCCCAAAATGTTCATGATAGGTATCAGCAATTTCTGAGAGTGTGGAAGCAAGGTTTTAAAGCTTGACACTAACTGATGCAAAGAGATGCTTCTGCTTTCACTCTATTCCAGCTTTTTTGATCTGCAGAAGTTTCTCTTTCCAGAAAGTTTTGAAATAGAATCCAAGTAAGTCCTGGCCTGCTGTCCCTGAAATCCCTCCAGAAGAGCTCTGGCTCTGGTTCATTTATTTGTACTAGTCACTGCTCACATAATTTATCTCCCATATATATAAAGTGCAGAAATGCATCAGAATGTGCACAAAACTTTGCATCTTCTGTAATCCAAACAGCACTGGAATTATTGTGTCTTTCTAAGTAAAGGTTTAAAATGTTAGGTTTCAGCACAGCAAGATTGCAAGCTGTGCTGTATATATTTCCATGTTTTCTTAACCTTGTATAAAGACAGGGCACATCCATTTCAGATGCTGCTTTTTCCCTTGCAATCTTCTTCATTTTGCTTGATTTCATTTATGGTTTTTAGTGCTGCTCTTAGTTCAGTGAAATTACTTTTGCTTTGCACTGGTTCCACTGTTAGGAGAGAGTCCTGCAACCCAGTCAGCTCAGCAGGGATGGGCATTGCCACGGTGCACAGAGGAGATGCTGCAAGGGATGAGCACCACAAGAAAGCCTGGCCATCACCTCAGCTTCTGCAGTTTGTCTGAGTCCTCAGTTATTGTTAAAAACACCCTGTGGTAAAAACCCAGAGGTTTGCAAGTGAAACCTGACCTGGTTACACACAATAGAGGCTCAGATTGCTAAAGCAGGTTTGAGATAGTTGGCATGAAAGAAGGCAAAGGCACTGAGGACGTGCAGTGGCATGTTCTGCTGGTAAACCTGGAGGGCTCCCAAGTCCCTCTAGTGTGACCCAAACCCCACACCCATCCACTGCTCCTCTGGCAGTGTCCTGCTGTGGCTTTGGGTAGGATAGTTTTGGCCAAAGCTTGAGCTCTATTGAGTTCCTCTGAACTTTGGAGCTGAAAAAAATCTAAAGATCTTGTCTTTTGATGCCATGAGGAAGGCCCATGGGAATGCACCAGAGAAGGGCACTCTTTATACATGCCAATTCCAGAGTGACACACAGCTGGGCCTCTGGATTTAAACATGGAGTGGCTGTAGGGCTGTGACTGAGTTGCTGCATGATCAGTGTCTGGACACTCCTGTCACAGGGGAATTATCAGAGTTAAATCACTTTTTTCTGTATTAATACATCTTTGTGCACTTCAAGGAAGAGGAAAACCTACAAGTTGCTCATGGACAACCTGAGTTTTGCAATTATTATCTGTCTTAAATGGTGAGCTCTCTCCTTGCTATTGCAGTGCTAAATCTTCTGCCAAGTCACCGATGGCCAGCTCACACTTGCCAAAGCTTTGGCCCACAATCTTCAAGCGTGAATTTAAATTTGAAGGCAGCACCAGGGCTTTGGTAAAGTTGAGCTTTAACTTTAGCTCTTATTCAAGCATCCATTTAACTACATTTTACTATTGGAAACCACAATGTGGTTGTGGTTCCTTTTGTCTCGTACGAAACCAGTTATTTGAACTGGGCAAAGGTTTGTAGAGTTTTCTGATCCAGAAATTGTTGGCAAGGTAGCTGTTTTGAAGAATCATAAGCAAGAAATAAACTCTAACAAAGGAAAACCACAATTCTACTTCATTTCATTTAGAGCATCTTGCTAAGAAATAATTGGGAATGAATTGTGTGGCTGCTCTGTCTACACCTCAAGTATGCTGGATGCTCACTAGTGTGAGACTTAAGGCTGATACAATAAAGAAATCTCCAGACTGCATGGAAAAACATGGAGAAATGAGATTCCCATGGAACAGTGAAGGAATTTAGGAGAAAAAGTGGTTTTAGGAGTTTGAAGGAAGATAAGTGTCTGCCTAAGCAATTTCATGTATGACCTCTACTCAGCATTGTATTCCAGTGATTTCTGGAATGAATGAAATCTCAGATTGTGGAGCTCAGAGTAATCAGAGATAGAAAACCAGACTTCTACCTGTCTCAAGTGGCTTTATGTTTTATCTGTATTTTTAAAATTCAAAATACTGCATAATCTCCAAAAAATGTTCCCTTATTATAGCAGCATCGGTGCCAAACATGAGATGCAAATGAAATCACACTTGGATGAACTTTAAGAGCAATCTTCTAGGGTTAATAATGTCAGAAAACAGTTAAAGTGTTTGCAGCCCTGTCAGTGTGAGCTGATGGATGGCTGTATCCAGGATGCTGCCCTGTAGGCTGCCCTCACGCTTCCAGAGTGACCTGCACTAGGCTGGCTAAAGGAAGGTCAGAGGGGAAATAAAGAATTTGACAGGGAGATGTGTACTAGGATTTGGATAGCATTAATGTTGGATACTTGCATGATTAACACTTTCCCTGCCTCTGAGGCATGGTAGAAAGACCCAGTAGATCTTGTGCCAGTCCAGACATCTGTTAGAAGGCTGGAACACCCAGATTCCTGGGGTGGGCAGGAGCTGGTGGGGATGAATTCACATGACTCAGCTGAATTGGCAGCGCTGTGAGCTGTGAATCTTGTCCAGTGAGCTCAGAGGCACCACTCGGGTGGGTTTGCTCAGAGGAGGAGGACACCACTTACAGCAGAGCCAGCAGATCTTCATTTTTCTGTTGTGTCCTTCCTTCCTTCCTTCCTTCCTTCCTTCCTTCCTTCCTTCCTTCCTTCCTTCCTTCCTTCCTTCCTTCCTTCCCTTCCCTTCCCTTCCCTTCCCTTCCCTTCCCTTCCCTTCCCTTCCCTTCCCTTCCCTTCCCTTCCCTTCCCTTCCCTTCCCTTCCCTTCCCTTCCCTTCCCTTCCCTTCCCTTCCCTTCCCTTCCCTTCCCTTCCCTTCCCTTCCCTTCCCTTCCCTTCCCTTCCCTTCCCTTCCCTTCCCTTCCCTTCCCCTCCCCTCCCAGAGTACCTGTGTCTTCCTCCCACTGATTCTCACCAAGTTTACGGTAATAATTCCATTTCTTTACTTCCATCAAACTGGAATTCCAGTGCTGAATTCCAGCCCAGCGTTGCTCCCAGGCAGAGATGGACTGGTTTGTGTCTCTCTCTGACTGATGGGCAAACATGAAGCCGTGGTGGAGAGCTGCAGGTTGCGTTTTCGGGCTGCTGGGGAACATTGCAGGCTCAGCAGAAATGCCTGATTAAGCTACAGATAAGGGTTGTCTGCCTCATGCCTGGGAGTTTCCGTGTGAGGAGGAGCAGGAGGATGGGTATTGATGCTTCTGGAAAGGGGCAGTGCAGGGCAAGTAACTCTGAATGTTTTAGCAAGAGAATGGGAGAGCACAGGCTGGAATTTTAGTGCATAGCAATGAAATGTGCTCCAGAATCAGTCCAGATCTGCTGAGGGTTTCTTTCAGGGCAGAAAAAGAATGTGCAAAACCTTTATGTACCCTCAGATCCCTTCTCCATGGCTTTTGTCTTTTTGTTGGAGTGGTTTCCATGACTTCACCCTCTCCAGGCTGTTTGTATTTTTCCTGTTCTTTTATTTGGTTGGTAGATTTTTTTTTTTTTTTTTTTTTTTTGGAGAGTTGTGTTGGCTGTGAGGTTTTTGGGGGTGTTTTTTTTCTTTTTTGGGGCGGGGAGAGGGTGGGTGTTGGTATTTTTTCCTGCTTCACAGAAGTTTGGGAATTATCTGTAAGACTTATTAAGGGCTTTCCTCAAAATTATTGTCCTGAAACACAGAGGTCCAGAGGGAACATCAGGCTTATTACAAGATGGAGGAGAGGCTGGCAAGCCTGGAGGAGAGGATGGAAAACATTATTTGGTTGCGAGTAAGTGCCTTCTTTTGGGTGCTGGAGAGCAGTACAAAGATTGGCATTTCACACAGCAATCAAAGTCAGAAATTTAATCCTTCAATTTAATGACCCAGGCATTGTGCCTGTGCAAATTTTCTAAGCAAAGGCAAATACTATTATCAAAGGCACAGGGCTGTTCAGGAAGTCAGGCAGGCTTCTTTGTGCTATCAGAACATCTGAAGATAAGAATTATATCTCCTCAAAGCACATATCTGAAGTATAGTGTAATAAGTCATGTTATTGAGGCAGCCTGAAAGCAGTGGCAGTTAGATGAAGCATTCCTTGCTGTTAATGAGAACAGGGAAATACCTTTACACGGGGTCTGCTAAGGCTCAGAGGGAAGGGTTTTCCTTGTTAGGGCTCTCTGCTGTGGTTTGACAGGCAGAATTCAGGGAAAAGTGCCTGCAGGTGCACAGTGAGGTGTGCAGTGTTCTTTGGTGCTTTGATGAGGCAGCTGGAGCCTTATGTGAGTCTCATTTAAAAAAAACAGGGAGGGGAGGGCCAAATTTCTTGTATGGCAAAGAAAAGGGCAGATGCCCATGTGAGTGCTCAGGCATGTGCTCAGCCTTTCCCTGCTGAGGTGTTTGTGCAGGGATGGGCACAGGTCCACTGCTCAGCTCCTCTATTTCATGGGCTGAAGACCTGTGCAGGGGCCTGTTATCATGTTCACTAGTGGGCAATCTTAATAATCTGAAAATTCTAGAGCCCAGAATGAGCGTGTGTCTAAAGTTTTCTTTAAAAAATCTTTACAAACCTTTTTGACTTTGCGTGACACACAGCCTCCAGGAGGCTGCAACCCATACAGAGATGGAGATTTCAGTGCAGGGAAACTTACACAGCCCAAGTCTGCACTCAGACTCTGGGGGACTCATTATATTTGTATTTGCCAAGGCTGTGTAGGTAGATCTTTTCCTATGGTTTATTATTCCATGCCAGTCTGATTCATACTTTCAGCTACTTGTCATTTTTGTGATTAAATTCCTTAGCGGTGATAAGGTCTGGAGAAAAACAAAGATAACAAGACAAGGCTAGAATGTGCTTGTTGCAGTCTTGCCCAGTTTAGAGATATTTCCTAAATAGTTTCATTTTCAGATTAGTTTTTC